CACACGGAACGCCGTTTACCTTCCCGCTAGTAAGCGGTCCCTATTTATCTACTTGCACCCGAGGGTGCTTTCGAACTGCTAGGTTGGCAGGCACTGGGACCGAGCAGCGGGAGCGCACCCCGCCGCGGGGATTCGAACCGCCGACCTTTCGATCGGCAAGCCCTAGGCGCTGAGGCTTTTACCCACAGCGCCACCCGCATCCCCACACTTCCCCATGCCCACATATAATAGTTGAGTTGGAAGGGACAGCAAGAGTTACCTAGTCCAACCCCTTGCAATGCAGGAATCTCAGCTAAAGCATCCAATACAGAAGGCCATTCAACCTCTGCTTTGAAAAGCCCACTGAATCCACCTCCTCCTGAGGGATTTCGTTGGAATCTCACTTTTTGTAACTTGAAGCCATTGGTTCGAGTCCTAACCTCCAGAGCAGAAGAAAACATCCAGCACTGCAGTGCAGAGGGTTGGTCAGCAGGAAATGTACCTCACACAGGCCAAGAAAGGTGAGCCACCCATTTTATAGAGGACGGGTCCCTGCTCTAAGGAGTTCTACCATCTGAAGTTCAACGCAGGGGCAACAAGAGGAAGCAGAGGCAGCAAAATACAGGGAAGCGACAGGCGGCTGCTTCAGTAACCCCACTTAGACTCAGTTACAGCAGGGCAGCCTTTGCCAAGAGATATGCCATCTGCAGTGGGTGGGAGTTGTAGTCCAAAAACTATGGATTTCACCAGGTCAGGGAAGGATGCCATGGACGATGCCAAGGACTGGAGAAGGGGGCACGTCTGCAACCAGTGCTGGTAAGCTCTGCCCCCTCCTCTTTCATCCTCTCTTATTGCAGAATAGTAAGGGAGTGGGTGGCGCTGTGGTCTAAACAACTGAGCCTCTTGGGCTTGCCAATCGGAAGGTTGGCAGTTCGAATCCCCGCGATGGGGTGAGCTCCTGTTGCTCTGTCCCAGCTCCTGCTTACCTAGCAGTTCGAAAGCTTAGCAGTGCAAGTAGATAGATACCGCTGAAGCTCTGGCTTCTGTCAGTGTGTCCTGTTGCACCAGAAGTGGTTTAGTCCTGCTGGCAACATGACCCAGAAAGCTGTCTGTGGGCAAACGCCGGCTCCCTCAGTCTGAAAGTGAGATGAGCGCCGCAACCCCATAGTCACCTTTGACTGGACTTAACCGCCCAGGGGTCCTTTACCTTTTATTGCAGAATCTAAGCAACCAATTGCATGTTTCTCCCTCTGTGTGTACAAATACATAAAACACAGTCCCCAATGCTAACAAACTACGCCCAAACTTAAATATAAAAGAAAAGCCGCAAGGAACAATGGCAGTGATTTAAAATTAAGACACGTAACTCCAGGGCTATGCGTTTTCAAAGTTTATTTCAAAACATTAAACTGAAGCTGAATAGAAACCACAGAAATTACATTTAGAACTTTTTGTTTAGCATTTGCTGAACAAGGGGGGAAAGAAAACCCAAACCAGTAAAAAAAATTAAAAAATGGTTACAGTACAATTTAATAAAACTAATGAGAGGAAAGGGAAGGATACAAAAACAGGCTCACTCCTCAGTTTATACCCCCACAAAATTTCAAAACATTTGGGGTAAGTGCAGAACACTTGAAAGCAACTAGTCATGTTCAAAGGCTTAAAAAAATTACACACATATACATGTGCATCTTTATATATGTATAAAGTGGCATGATATACAGTACAGCCATTGTGGTTTTAAACAAAACCAAGTTAGGAGAGAGAGAAAATGTCAGTTTTGTCTTCACTGGTATGTTTCTGTGACAGTAAGTCAAAAAGTGAGAGAGAGAAGCCGGGAGAGAGAAGTCCTCAGGCAATTCCCACGTTGACTCTTGCTAACAAAGGATCCAGGACCTATGTTACAGCTAGGGTTGCCAACTGACCAGGAAAAGCAGCCTGGCCTATTCTTGTGCCTTTTTACAGCATGGGGACAAACACAGTCATCTCCCAATTGTGGCTGCCATTGGTCTGCTAATGTGCTAATGAAAAGCACAGCTACCATAGCTGGTTCATCCTAGTTGGCAAATCCCAGAAGCAAATTTAACAGCACCAAAACACCTGAAGCTGTGGTGTGTGTGTGTGTGTGTGTGTGTGTGTGTGGTAGCAACATTCTTGCCAACTACTTCAACGCTCTCTGGAGATGGAGCCCTTGTGGTGGAGAAATTCAGAGTATAAGAATCCTAACGTAAAATAGAAAAAACCAACATTGCATAGAGAGGACAGTGGTGTTGTTCTTGTTGTCAAAGACACTCAGCACCTAGAATGATCCTGAGGGAGTAGAGCAACCCCTCTTTAAATATTGAAAGGAATAAAGCTTTGCTTTCCTCATAGCTGCCTGCTTAAAAACTGGCCTTTTCTTCCTCTTTTTTGGTGCAAGTGCAACCAGAAGGGGCAGTTTTCTGCTATAAATAAATAAATAAAAGCCCACACCTCTGCATCTTCCTATGCAGGACGTCAAAGCAAAACTTCACCCTGTTGGGCGAGAGGAGAGTTGCCTCGTTTACAGAGGAAAAACCGAAGTCTAGTGAAGCCAAGCCATCTCCCCAATCCCACCGCCAAACTCTCATCTGACAACTGCATGTCAATCAAGAATGAAAAAAGTCTAGGCTCTAGGACAGTGTTCCCCAACCTTGGGCCTCCAGCTGTTTTTGGACTACAACTCCCATCATCCCTCGCTAGCAAGACCAGTGGTCAAGGATGATGGGAATTGTAGTCCAAAAACAGCTGGAGGCCCAAGGTTGGGGAACACTGCTCTAGGAGATCCCAGCTCTCACTTCCATGGTCCCATCAAGTTTCCCATACACTTTAGAGGTTATGGGAGCTTAAGCCATGGGTTGCCAATGAAGCGCCCTTGAGATCTCCCCCTGCAAGAGCCTCTGAGCCTCCCCACTTGATGCCTCCCTAGATCATTGGGTGAAAAGGGTGGTTAAAAGTACATAGAGCTGAAACAGGAAGTTGGAAGAGTGGCTCTTACCCTCTTTCTTTTCAGCACTGAGCACTTCTTAAGGCTGAGATTAATTCTACTGGGTCGTTTTTTTAACCGGATCCCTTGGAAAAGCAAAGTGTGTCTCTGCATCTTCTCTCTCTTGGGCAAACTCAAAAATAAAGATTAGCAGCAGAGATTCTTTCTTGTTCTAGCAGATAACATTCCAGGAATCAAACTCTGCAGTCCTGCAACTAGCTGTGCATAGCAATTTCTCTCTCACACACACATAAATGGCTAAGATCCAAGAAGCTACTCTAGAGCAGGCTCCCTCAAACTCGGCCTTCCAGATGTTTTGAGACTACAATTCCCATCATCCCTGACCATTGGTCCTGCTAGCTAGGGATCGTGGGAGTTGTAGGCCAAAAACATTTGGAGGGCCAAGTTTGAGGAAGCCTGCTCTAGAGGTTTCCAAAGGCTCTCACATGCCCCATAGACTCCTTTCAAACAGCAAGCTCCCAATGTGGCTCAGGGCCTGCTCAAGACACAAGTTCAAACTGGGTTAGACTTAAGGATTTTGGGGTCCTGGCCAGCCATTAGTTAAAACAGGGTGGGGAAAGCCCTGAATTACAGTTCCCATCATCCATGATGATTAGAACCATTGGCTGGGGCTAATGGGAGTTGGAGTCCAACAACATATGGACACTGGCTTCCCATCCAAGTTACAGATTAATCGTGAGTAACAGAAATGGGAAATATCTAAGGTGAAGAAAAGGGGAACCCAGCTGATTTAATATTGCAGGCAATTCAAAGAGAGCACAATGAATTATAGCCTGAAAATTCAGGAAATGTATGAGATAAATGTTTGTATGGCATAAGGAGTTGAAATCCAAGCCTCCTAGCTATTAATCCTCATGGGAGGCTGGTCCTGGAAAAGAAAGATCTTGCCTGATATTCAAAGCCTTGCTAAGGATGGCAGAGAGTCTGTACGCTCTCCTGAAACGCTGGCTGAGAGCAGGCAAGAACAGTGTAAGTTAACACTGGCTTGTATCCATGTGGCCTTTTAAGAAGTATTTTTTGCATGTGAATCACATAAGCTTGCCTCCAGTTCATGAGTACCACACGAAAACTTATGCATGGGACACATTTCACACAACCAAAACTATCCCACAGTATCTCTGCTACAATCTGACACACAGTATTATGTGAAATGGTCCTATGACTTTCAACCTTCCATGCTGAAGTAGGAACTTGAACTGCAGGCTAAAGCTGTGTCAAAAGAGAGAAGCTCAACTTCTTTCTCATGGCCACTGTGACATTGATTACTGCAAAATGTAGGTAGTATTCTTCCCCTTTGTGAACACACACAATGCTCATCCTAACAGGGGATAGAGCAGAGGCGGCACAGGCTTTCTAAATAGTGTTTAGCACCAAGAATTTCAAGACATGCACGAATTCAAGCCAAGTGAAACTGGCTCCCCATCTGCTCACAGTAAGTAGCCCGCCAGGAGTTTCAACACTGCCATTTCTGCACTTCCAGGCAGGCAGAAAAACAAAAACAGGCGGCTTGTTGAGTGAGGTGTGCTGTTTGGCTTGGTAGGTCAAAAGCTGTATGGCCCAGATGAATCTAGGTGCCACCAAGTGTCTGGGCTAAGCACTAATGTGGAAGCTTCAATTATTCTTGGAAATCGTACCCTGAGCACACACACACAAACACCTTTCCATGAACATGCAATCTGTGGCTTGGGAAATTCTGGGCCTCCCTCTCCTTCCATCACTGCTAAGTTGGTCACACCCGAGGCACCAAATGAAAATATGTTTCCAGTGGTATTTAACAAGGAATAGGGGACAACAGAGGAGAATCGAACTCCTCAGATCGGCATACGTGGATGAACGCCAAGTTCGTACACTGAACCCTTCTTTTTTCTTTTTCTTTTAATAAGCAAAAATGAACTCAAAATGGAGTCAGCTAACATTAACATACAGGATACAAAACACTACACTTATTTCCAGGACAGCACACAGACGAAAAAATAAATTCACAGCCAAGTCTTGATTCAATTTCCTTTTTTTTTTTTAAACGATTACAATGCAGTCTTGAACACTGGACGCAGAGAGTCCAACATGCTATATACATTTCACATTGTGGAGATGTTTGTGTGCTTGACAAGGTTCTTGGTTCACAATTGTTTTTTAATAAAAAAAGTGCTGTGACAATGTCATGGGGTTTTTTGGGGGGGGGGAGGAGAAGGGGAGGAACATGACCAAATAAAGCAGACAAGCAGATGGCCACAGATGCACTGGGGGGTGGGGGAGGGAAAGAGAAAGAAAATCAAAAGGAGAGTCTTTACCACTCCAGTTTCCCATTCCGATGTCTCACCGCCTCATTTAGATTCTGATCAGGCAGTACTAGGTATCGGTCTTCCTCCCTCTCCAGAATTTCAGAAACTAAATCAAAGTTAGGGTGATGGTTCTGAAATGATTTGAGAGTCGCTGAGGAAATCAGCCAGGACACATTCCAAGCAATATGGTCTTGAGATTGTTCCCCCCCACCCCCATCACATTACTTAAAAACTCATACAAATTAGGACAGAGAAAAAATAAAGTTTTTTGTGGTTTCACTTGCTATACCAAAGATATTTAAGAGCCCCAACAGGCACCAAAGCCAGCTAAAAGATAAAACCGGCCAGTCAGCAATTTGGAATTCGTCTGTTCGGAAGCTGGCCTGGAGGGCAGGGTGGGGGCGGAACAAATGACGCAGAGAACTCCTGAGAAGCCAATTCCACAGACATGCTGCAACCACAGATGGTTTGGGATTGCACAAGAGACTGCACAGAGTCACCTCACTTGCAGGTCACCACTGTGTGCACTTCTCCTCGTGCCAGCGCAAATGCCCCCACACGCAAGCTTCTTTTTCAGAAGTAGGTCCACTTAAACTAGCCTTGGAAAATCCCCACTTGCTGTTGGTGTCACTCAGGAATCCATATTGGCGTTGTTCTTTTCGTTTTTTTAAAAAAGAGGTTCAATTAAAAACCAAGTTGAGTCTTGCCCACGTTAAGATATACACCAAGGTCCTGCATTGCACGCAACGAGGCAGTTAGATGCTGCGACTCTACGGAAGTTGGGAAAAAAGTCACATCAAGTCCAGAGTCCCCCAGTCGAATCCACACAGTAGAGACCTTGCAGCTTTGCCTTATAGCATCACTTTTCCCCAAATGGTCTCCTTCCAGAAATCCAATGGAAGATACTAAGCACATCTCCATTTGGCAATTCATGATCCAGCAGTGTACCCGGTTGCTCCTTCCTCTTCAGAGCGTAAGTTGCAGCTACACCTTGGACGAAGGCAATTTCTATAGTGGTTACTGTAATGTTATTGTTGGTCCCTTGGTTAGCATCAGTATGGACAGACAGCATTTACTGGAGCATCTGCAGGGGTTGGGCTACTTGACCCTTGGGGTCCTTTCCAAATCTACAGTTCTATGATTTCATACTCTATGAATCTCTTCCTTTCTACACTAGTGGGCATGGGGTGGGAGAGACCTTGTTTGAAGGCTTGCCTTTCTCAAGCCATTAAAAATCATGGCTAGGCTACCCAGGGTGCTATTTGGGGGCTGCTTCTCCAGTATAATCTGAAAACTGTTCCATAAATTTAAGATGTTTTAAGTGTACACCTACATTTTTTTGTTTTAGAAGCATGAACAAACAAGGTGTTTCTAAACCATGTACCTAAGCAGAATGAGGATTAACTCCCAACTGAGTGTGCACTCAATGTGGGTTTGCTGCTTTGCAATGTGCAGTATGGTCCTTAGAGTGGGAAAAGAGAACAGTTTTGGAGCTAGCCAAATGGAACGTAATTATCAAGAGGTTGCCGGATGGCAGGGAGGACATAAACATTTACAGTCTTTAACTTTTTGGACCCCTCTCCTAATAGTATTGGGTAGCATATGACCAAAATCTATACCAAGGGGTAAATTTAAAGGCTTACTACGCTGTTCATATACACGAAAATCTTTTTGACAACTGACTGAAGACTGTTTCAATCTTTTCTTTCTATCCTTCTGCAGGCAGCACCCAAAGATCCCATGGTCCGTTAGCATCCTCCACTTTCTCAGTAAGCAGAGTGCAAAAGAGTCACACCCTTGTAGGAAGTAACCTGTTTCCAAGGAGAAGGCATACAAACCTTCCCCTGAAAGCAGCCCTTTGCTAATGGAAGAGATACGGGTTATCAAGTGGGTGAACAGCTCAGTTGATTAGAGCGTGGTGGTGCTACAAACATCAAGGCTGCAGGTTTGAGCCATATGGGGCAGCTGCATGTTCCTGCATTGCAGGAGAGTGGACTAGATGATCCTCAAGGTCCCTTTCAACTCTACAATTCTATCATTCTATGTCTGGAGGAGTTCTCCTCCAATACTGTCCTAGGTGATGGGACAAACTCACTGTGGCTTCTACGTGAACTTAAATGAGCCCCCTCCCCAAGTTCTGACAAAGGTGCCACGCAAAAAAGTGATCTGGTATCTCAGCTGACATTGGGAGGTATTTTACCCTGTCTCTAGTCACTTGTTGCGGGATAAGTTACACAGAAATGAAAAATCAAAGTATTAAATAAGTAAAGGCCTTCCCTGTCCAGTATTTCCTGTTGTCACCCCCCACCCCTGGACCCCCATGGTGTTTTATCAAATAGAGCACCTTCAATGCAGCAGCTGTGGGACTGGTGCAGGCATCCCTGAACTTTGATCTCTCTCAATCTGCTGTCGATCTTTGTTGCCAGCACACATCATTTTAAGAGGCAACTGGAATGTGGTTTGTGCAGCCAATATGAGAGATTAGCATGACGGGCCAAAGAGGGTGGTGGGAGAAAAAGCAAATATCAAACCTGTTCTGACATTCACAGTATTTTTGCTCCCCAATTCTGGGATACAGGAGTAGCATAAATCTGTAGATTGTGGAACTCTCCCAAAGGTCTATATCTGAATCCAACGCTTCTAGGGTCTTGCATGTCCCAATGCTCAGAACAAGCAGTAAGTCCATCTTGCCACAGGGGAACATTTGCACCAAACCTGGCTGGCACTCTTAGTTGCGCTTTCATCGTGTTACACTCGTGCCATGCGGCCAGCAGCAGAGATAAGATGCTTCTCTCCCCCGTCTAATGCTCCTTAAGCATTGTCCTGAAATATTTTGGCACCAGAAGGAATGCTGGCTCCAGTTTCATGTCTGTACATCAGTGTCAAAGAACTTCTGCTGATTGCTATTAGAAAGTCTAGTGGCAAAGTAGAGTGGGAAAATTCAGCACAGCCAATGTGAACTCATCCATGCATGTGGGTGCATGCAGAGCGTGTGGGGAGTGAGAATACAGCAGTTGGCAAGGGAAGCCCCCTACTTCTCCCCAGGGGTTTGCACCTAGGTCTAAAGAGAGGGAGAGAGAAGTAAACTTGTACTGGAAGAGGATGATTGAATCAGCAGGCCTTCTCATTCTAACACGGAAGGAAGAGGTGGCCTCCCAGATTTGTCGATCCTGGAATGAGGAGACGCTTCTCTAGAGTAGCACAGAGATGAGAGATATGCAGTAGAAGCTGAGTGCACGTGAACTTTATGACAGTGTGCGCATTAAATATGGCTTCCTCGGATTAGTATGTCGCATCCATAGTACTTCTGTAAGATGATCCACTTTTTCTAGGCTTGACTCACGACACCATTTTCGTCCTCAATGAATTAGACAGAGGCCTGGCAGAAAAGGTGGCAAGCGGCTTGCAATTTCCTGATCGGCGGTCAACAAAAGCTGATCCCACACATAGCAGGGCAACATGGGTGAACTGGCGAGTCTCCTGCAGGTGTGCACAGGACCTTGCTTCTCTGTCCACTCCTGCACACACAGGTGCAAGTAATGAAAAAGCCTTAATCAGTAATAAGCTTCCACCTAGCTTTGCCCCAAGTGCACTCCAAAGGGGTGGAGAAGCAAGAAAAGCAACTGAGCTGGATTCAGGACAGAAAAAAAGCAGGGCTGTTCTGCGAGGACAACACAGGATGGCAGCAGTTGGCACGTTTTGTTCCTTATTTTTTTAAACTTAGACGACGTTCTAGTTTTTAATGCACACTGCCAGAGTCTGGCCGAGGCTGGTTGGTGGCGAGGTATTTGGCTCTCATGCTGGAGGTGTACTGGAGAAAGAGAAAAAAACACAAAGGAGACAGTAGATCAATTCAGAGTAATCGGCAAGACCTTAAGACTCAAGTATTGCTTGATACATCCCCTTGTATTAAGATTTGAAGTTAAATATCAAATGGTTAATCATCCTTTCCGACGCCTTAACAAAAGGTTCACCTAGGCTTCTGACGGATGCCAGAACCAAAACTCCTGGGTGTAGAAAAGGGCTTGGAAGATATATGCATAACAAATCCCATGATTTTTTGAAGGAAAGCCTCGGCAGTTAAGCTGGTATAAAAACAAACCTAAATTTGGAATTTAGACAGGCCAGGAGTGATACGCCTATATGCAAAATACTTGCAGTGCTCAATCCAAGTGCTCCCTGATTAAACAGTGAGGAGAAAAAGAGGAGAAAAAGCAGAGATTTGGCTCACCAGATTTCCTCTTTCAATCATGCAAAGAAAGGAAGAGATGAGTGGCAATATATAGATACACTGCTATATCTATATTTTTTACTATGAAATAAAAAAATGGAAAATTTAAGGGCACCATATGTGTTGCAAACTGAGGGCTGTCCAGGAACCCATGCTGGGAGGTATAAAGCAGGGTCAGGTCTTCTAGAGGCATTGCTACAATCACTGGCACAAGGTGGGAAAGAGGAGCTGGTGAGGGGGACACAATACTACCTTTCTGTCATATAATGCAACACATTGATAAGAAGCCGATTGTGCATATATATATATATATATATATATATATATATATATATGCATTTGTTATACACACTTGAACCAGCACATAATAAAAATAACCCAACATAAAAACCAACAGTCCAGACATTGATACAGTCCACCCTACAAATCCATCCATCCATCCATCCATCCATCCATCCATCCATCCATCCAGGAGCCAGCTAAAACACAGCAGAGCACCCCTTCAGCTGCAGGGCCATGCCTTTAAAAGTGACATTTTCACTTGCCAATGGAAGACCGACAAGGAGGAAGGAACCCAGGCAGATATGCCAGAGGATGGTCTGAGGACACAAGATGTAGCACCCTGAGCTCCCTACTCTGGCAGCTGGTAGTTCTGGGTCTGGGTTGGTACCTGGGCAGTAGACCACTGGAAATCCTTTGCATGCTGCTTTGAGTTCCAAGGTGGAAGAAAGGCACAATATAAATGAAATGAAATGAAAGAAAGTAAAAATAAAAGTGTCTCCCAAGGAAGTGTGTTTCCTCCTTAGAGTCAACTTGGTGTTATCCCAGAGTCACTGTTTTACTCCTTGGCAGCGATCAAATCAACTTAGCTTGCTGAAACCAAGCATGGTGATGGACTCAAGTTAAAATCCAAAGCTCAAAAACACAAGATCAAATATCGCTGAGTGAAATGAGGCTTACATCTGAGTAAACATGGATAGGATTCGGCTATTAAGTGTGGTTTCTCAACACAGGCCTAGAAATATTGCTGTCTCTTCAAGTCTTTGTGGCTAGAGCTTCTACTACAACACTTCCACGCAGGATGTTGGAACACCTGCCTCAATGGGATTAACACCTGTTTTTACTGGAAAGGCAGATGTTCTTCTGGGACAGGTTAATGCTCAGCTATAAATGTCAACCAGATCCTGTTCTCAAGGTCGTTGCAGTAGCTCCAGAAGTACCCCTTGCTGGGCAATAGGCAACACAGAGGTGATAAAACAGGCAAGGTCGCTCATGATGTAAAGTTTTGTGCGCTCTCTCTCTCTCTCTCTCTTTTTTAAAAAGAACAGTGTGAAATCTTAGTGTGTACTAAGAGGTACAGAGCAAGTTTACACAGAGAGCAAGGCAGCCACCACTACATTTATTTCTGATGTGCGCACTAGGGGAGAGAACATTGATTCTGTAAAGCAGAGAAGGTATTAGCATAAGAGAGGCAAAGTTAGTGATTCAACGGCATTCCTGATGCCAGCTCAATTTCCCATACATGCCCATGTATGAGGACATCATTTCAGTCAGGTCTTTCACTGCAGATGACTTATGGACAGCCAACCCGACCTTTCAAATTTAATTAGATAAATACCTCCCGGTTAATATCTGTGCTGTTCCCACTGAGATAGATTCCTTTGATTCCCTTCTTTCTAAAGGAAAGTTATGTCCTACAGACAAAAATATTACTCTCAAAGTTCTCTTGAAAGGAGAATCAAACCTTACATTTATTATGCTTTTATCACACCCTTTCCCCACGGAGCTCAGTGTCTGTGTACATTATTCTTTCATCCTCTCAACCTACCCTTTCAGGTTCGGCTGAAATATAGTGCCTGCTCCCCCACCCCCAGATACCCAATGACCTTTAGGTCTACACCATTTCACACTCGCATATACAGCGCAAAGCCGTCGCGGCTCAGCAAATGATTGTCTCACAGATGAACAACAAATCACAGTTTGTTCCTCCAAAGCTTGGTTTGCTACCCAACTACTCTTGCCTTGTGCCTGTGTAGCTTAGTGAGCATATGGGGGGGAGTGGCCAAACAAACCATAGTTAAACAAGGCTGGTGGGTTCAAACAAGATACCAAACCATAGTTAAAACATGCCATAGTGCACAACTCAACCTGCTATCATGGTTTGCTGCTGGGTTCAGACATTCATACAAACCACACTTTGGCTAAACCAACCATGGCTTAAAGTTATGAGCATGTGGACCAGGTCTTTGGCTGTCTATCTGAAGATTAACTTGTGCAGGTCTACAAAACAGCACTACTCTCTGGATCACCTCTCATTTTATTTATGAAGTTGGCCTGTTAAATTAACCAGAGTTGTTTTAAATGGAGATCTCTCATTCGAACACAATGCTAAGCTGGGGTTCTGTAAAAGTGAAACAAACTCTGTCCCCAAGTCTTCCTCCTAGTTCCGTGGGAAGAGAAGGAGGAAACGGGAGAACCTGACGCTTGGTTCAACTTTTATATATTATTGATTCCTTCACTTATGTGGGCAATTAATATTTCTAAGAACTAGTCTATTTTATTCCTCACCTGAATGACACTGTGAATGTGGGTAGCTTCAATGTCTTGCAACTGCCATAAATATTTTGCTGATAACCTTTGGCCCCTTCTCAGCAACTGAATTTAAGACAAAATATTCATGTCCAGTTTTTTTGAGCATGTCAGCCTGATTGGTGCTGATGTTCTGGTCAACATGTACACATTTTGGGCTGCTGGAACATGTATCCTATCTTCACTAAACATTTTCACTTGGGAGGGCTCAGTGTGCTAAATACATTTTAGGGACTTTGCTGTTCTTTGGAACAATCCCAGCAAAAACCTGTGCCCACATGTTCCAAGGAGACGCTTCTTCACAAGGTGACAGTTCCACTTCTCTCTCCCTCTCCCCACCAATCTTCCTACTGCAAGATCTTGAGCAGGAAAATGTCTAGCCCCAACCTGTCTGCATTAGCTGCAACATACTTTTTTTTTTAAAAGCAGTTTTATTCAGAATTAAATATAAGAGCTTTCCCTTGACCCCCCCCCAAAAAAAACATTTTCAAGATGTGTTGGGAACAAGATTAGTTGTTGCAGCTGCTTCCTGTATGTGGTGTTTCTTCCAATTGTTTCTTGCTGTGTAAAATGTTAAGCAGCTCTTTCCCCCTGCTGGTCCTAACCTTGGAGGAATTTTTTCCTTAGAAAGCAAAAGAGGGGAAAACCAGCAGAACTACGAAGGACAGCTGGACTGGTCCTTAGTGGAAATTCAAAGTTTTTCTTCAGCAGAACCACACAAATACTACATGTCCTTAATCTAAATCAAGTTTTGGGGTGGGGAAGGATGACAGGCATTTTATAGAGGCCTGCCACTTAGGGAGGGCAGTCTCTGCCACCCACATTCAAAATTCATGTATTCTCTCTAGTTAGCTATTGTTAGAAACCATTGCAGGCCTACAGAGTAAGTTATGCATACAAAAAGGATCAAACGTTTTTGCTTCAAACATGGAAGAGGGTGAGTGTTTAGCCTGCACTGATAAACTTGCAGTACTGATCATGCAATTTAGCCTTGTTTATGGTCCCACCAGAAAGTTCTATGCCCCCCTCCCCCCAATGCAGAATGGTACCCCTGATTATATTCATTTCTTTGAGGTCTTTATATACTGCTTTATTAATCGTAAGCATTCAGTGTAACATTTATTTATTTTTAAAGTTCAGATGGTGCTCTAATTTCATGAAGTATATTCTGCACTGTAAAACTATCCTGGGGTTTGGGGTTGGGGTGAATTGCCTGAAATACAAAGTAGGTAATACAGAACATTAAAAATACACAATGCAATGGGCAACTGCATACACCCATGAGAATTAGGAAATGCTGCATCCGGGGCTTGGTTGCCCAAGCAAGGCCAATGCAAGACTGCTTACAAGAGAGGAAGATGCAGTGGCATTCTGGAGAGTACAAGCAACATGCATTGAATGACGCACACACCCATTCATGCGCTTGATAAAGAGTGCGCCGAGCCAAGGCTGTTCCCTTGACAGGCCAGCCATCTCTAGAGACCCACAAGCATTTGCCAAAGCAGAGCAAGCCAATGACAAGGAGGTGGCAAGAATGAAGACCAGGCAAGTGACACCGGAGAATGGAAGCCAGCGCAGCACAAAAGCCCCAGCAGGAATGGGTGATGTGGAGGCGTAACAGCTTGATGTATACAAACAGGTCTAGGAACAGGATGCAGACTGTGGCTAGTGGGCTGTGCTAACCAACCAACCAGGGAAACAAAAGAAGAACCTGCATTAGGGCAGGCACTTTTTCCAGGGCAGACGTCTTTCAGTTTGCTTCAGTAGATAGAGAGTGCAGGTTGGTTGGTTGGTTGGGCTTGTTTTAAAGGGATGAACCGCACAGGATTAAGCTCTCCCCAAATATCTGCCTCTAGGATTCAAAACTACACATGGCTCTCAAGAAGCTACTTTGTACTTTAGTCAGCCCATTGGTCCATGTGGCCGAGGGCTGGCTACCTGCTACTGCCCGCCAATACCTGAGATCTCAGGCAAAGGCTCTTCCAGCCACACCTACTTACAATGCTTTTGTTATGGATATAAGGAAGCTTTATACAGAGTCACACCGTTGATCCATCTAGCTCGGTATTATACACTTGAGTGGAAGCAGCTCCCCAGAATTTCCAGCAGGGGCATTTCACTGTCCTACCTAGAGATGCTAGGAATTGAGCAATGCATATGCTCTAACTTTGAACTACAGACACTGTAGTCCCCTGTCCCCCCAGCTAGGATGCTAGGAATTGAATTTGGACCCTTTGGCATATAAAGATGGTTTCTTATCACCAAACTATGCTTATTTCCCTTTAAGATTCTACAGAAGTTGTTTTTTGATGGATTCTTGCCACTTAGCATCATAGGAAGAAGAAAGCACCACATGGCAACTGTATTTATTTGTTACTGATTAAGAAAACTCTATGGCTAATTTGTCAAAGCCAGAGGGGAACCCATTTTTAAACAGGAACCAGAGTAGCGTCAAACCTTGCCTGCAAACATTTCTAATAGTAGAAAGATTGTGCGTGCAGCACAGCTAGGAAGCTATTTTGAAACATGCAATGGGCAGAATTTAAGTGCTTTGGATTGTAGATTTGTTAGGAGAAGCTTTAGTAGCTGTTCTATGCTGGTGGCATTCTTTTTTTTAAAAAATGTGTGTTCCACAGCATCAGCTGCGATGCCAAGAGATTCACTGAGGAAAGACAAATAGGCATTTCATTAAGAAAGATGCCCATGTTAGCTAAACTGGGTTCTTCTCATGTTTTCAGTTTCAGACACTTGGCAGCATCCAAACTCGAGGCCAAGTTAGAGAGGAGGAGATTCCTCTCCATTACAAAACTCCTGCTAATCTGTTCATCTCCAAGAGGTGTGACTGACTGCCATGAAGACCACAGGAAGCTTTGCCAAGGAAAGATGTTGATGTTGCTCCATTACTAAGCACCAGGGCAGGCCTAGCTAGCGTAAACCCTGGGCAGGAAAAGGATAGGGTGGGAAGTGCAGGGAGAAGGAATGTGAATACTTTGGCACTGGCCTGGGGGAATAAGTGCAGGGATGGCAGGGTGTGGGTGGGAGTTCAGCGAGAAGGACCTTATTTCAGTACCTGTTCCGATTTTGCGGGCGCTGTTACCAGTACGTCCGAGCACTGTCCGAGGGCTTAAGCTGCCAGCTCATATGGCTGCTACTGTCCATGGCAGCCAAATACAACTGTGATGATGCAGGAAAGAGAGAAAAAGAGAGAGTGCAGCCTCAACGTGCATGAAAAACACAGTGCAAGCAAGTGAAACGCTGGGGTGTGTATGTCAATGACAGGGAAGGCTCTACTGTCCTATGGGAATAGACTCTGGAGCAAGGAGGAGGAGGAGGAAACAAGGGAAGGTATGACCAAGGGGACAAAAAGAATAGACAAACAATGAAGACGACGACTCCAGTTCTAGGAGGAGGTTTCCTTGGTTTCCACAACAGAAGCTGAGACAAAATAGTATGAGTACGGACTACGCAACATCATCTTAAAGACTTCTTAGGCGCCTCCTATTTACAGATTTCTTACTCCTAAATTATGGCCAAAGCTGAGTAAAAGGCATTTCCTATGGTTGTGGATTTGAGCCTTAGCTGGAAAAGGCCAATGGGCCGCATGGCTCATGGGGAGGACTCACATCCCATCCTCAATGATTCTGCCTTCTCTTTCCCATCTGAAAGTAATTCATTGCATAGATAACTGCTGGCAAGAAGATGTCTCTGTTCCCCCCACAACTCAAAAAGCAGGAACCCACCTGAAGTCATTCCTTCTTGTACTAAAAGTATCAGTTCAGATGCATGTAGGGACATATTCGCTTTCCTTCTTTCATTGGGACAGTGTTATTCAGTCTTCTCAAAAAGTTCAGGTAGGAGATGAAGGATATTCTGCCCATCCCCCATCTTCAACAGCGCTCCCACCACACCTGTCTGAAGTCCCCCATCTCCCTCTCCCAAGAAATGCAATTAAGACCACTGCTAGTGACAAGGGACATTTCTTAATTAGAGAATGAAGACTCCTTTTGCCAAAGAGCTTTGCAGCAAGCAAAACTATGGTTTGGCTGAATTCTACAGGCGACTAAGATGATCAGGCTTAGCATGCAGTATTAGGGAGTTATAGTGTTTGCAGCTACAGATCCCACCACCACACTCCCAGTCAGAACAGTAATCAATTCCAAGAATAGATGTTTACATTTCCTCTGGAAGGGTAACAGCATGGCTGAGAAAAACAGTGTTCTCTGAAACGATATACAAAAAAAGAAAAGGGGGGAAAGGCTAAAAAGGAGAATTCTGAAGTTTGTTGCTGAGAGCTGGTCAAGGTAATCAACTAGGGCTGGTAGCACAGACTATCACAATTTGTTCTTTTAAAATTCTCATTGCTTTTATTTTATATTTTAGGGTATATTTGCTTTCAGGAATGGCTAAAGGCACTCCCACAAGACAAGTTCAGACATCGTAAGAGTGCATCTTCTTAAAAAGAAGGAAAAAAGATGGATTTATGTCATTCATATCTCAATTGGGTGCTAAAGCACACTATCAACTCACCAGTGCAAAGGCTGATATACTGCAGGTTATTACAAGCTTGAAACCAAAGAAACTAAGCAGTGAATGAAACAAAGCTGAGCCTGAAACAGCTTCCAGGTCAATCAAAACCTTTCATGAAAGACATTTCCCTATTCTGAAAGTTTGATACAAAAAAATGAAAAAAATTACCAACATTGAAACAGAAGACAAACCCCCTAAACACCTGTATATCTTAAAGGCAGATTTTGGAGAAGGATTCAGTGTTAATGTCAAAACACAGTTTCCACTACAAGCTCAAGAGTTGCTATTGTGATATATCTGCAGACTTACTAGCAGAATATATTTGCAGAATTCTTCTAAAGGTTCACATCTGTGACAACAATCCTCACGTTCTAAGCAACATGCATGTTTGTTTTCCTATATGAAAAGGAACCTAGACATTTTACCAGGAGACAAGCTGTGTTAATGTGTATGGGTGCAGGAAGAGCTCATGTTTCTGTTCTAAATAGATGCTTATTCATGAAGCAGTATATAGGAGCTGACTACACATATTTCCAAAGCAGATTTCTGTCTTACCCTTCAAAGCAGTAATTAAAACAGACTTACGGAGGGAGGTGGAGACTCCCGGCCAATCAAAGGTGTGTTCTCACATCGGGGGTTCTGAAAATTTGCATTCTGGCTCCTGAGGGGAAGGCAAGAAAGAGTAAAGCGTGAAAAGGTCATTCACTTTCTGGTTTACAGTATTTGTGGAAGTCAAAAATAAGGTGGCTGCATTCGTTGTGATCTTGGAATTGTATACACAGAATGTAATCTGTGAACTGAGCCTTAACAGGCAACTGCTGCTCAACAGCAGATTAGGCTGGCGGATGTTATTTCCTTGGCTCAGTAGGCAGGCAAGAGATGTACCACTCCCATGAAGAGTCCTAGCCCTGTGGTTATGTCCAAAGATGCGCATCATCTGCCAGTCCAAAACACGGCCAAAACCTGCACATTATTCTGAGTTGTCTCTAGGCAAAGAATTATCTCATATTCCATATTATTAAAGCTTATGGAAGATGTTCCATTCATTCCATTACAGAGACAATGGTGGAAATACATTAAGCCAGGGGTGATGAAGCCTTTTTCAGGCCAAGGGGTGGTTTCATTTGGGTGGCAAAAGGGGGCAGGACAACAAATGCAATGTATCTTTGTACTACAGGCTACTTTCTTAACATATTCACACACCTGCTTAGAGCCCCCATCCAGAGAAGCAAGAGGCAAAAACATTCAGCGTGCAAAGCAGGGCCAGGGAGGAGGGTGGCCTGGGGTGAGTTCTGAGGAACCAGGCAGTGAGGCTTGAGAGGCCACATTTGCCCTGGGTCTGAGGTTCCTCACTCCTGTTTTGAACACACAGCATCTCTAGTGGCAAGTGTTTCCAATCTTTAAGTACCACTGAGTCATATCCCATTAAGCTCTGCAAATATCAGTTTATCCACTTGCAATACAGAAAGATATAAATAACTTGGCTTGCAGCTGCAGTCACGTACAACTCCCTTTTTGGTTCTCCAGTAGTAAGTAACTGCTGCCTTCAACTGTATCCATACATTATCTCTTAAACCAAATACCAGGATCCACTCAGGTACAGAGAGCTGCAGAACAGAGCCTCCCTCCTTCCCTCCCTGTTCATCCTCCCACTGCGAATATGTGAAACTGCCTTATAGAAAGTCAGACCACAGGCCCATTCAAGGACACTACTACTGACTGACCTGACTGACAGTGCAGTGCCCAGGACAGTCTCAGGGACAGTCCTGCTACTCAGCTAACACTTTTCAGTGGAGATGTCTGGGACTGAAGCAGTGTCCCTGTGGATGCACCTAACCCACTCTATGCACTGAGCACCATCTACTCACATGTACTCTGTGACGGGAGCATTGCTGACTGTGTGTGCCGCTGCTGGGATGCTGGTCTCGCTTCCATAGCTGCTCCCACAGCTGTAAAGACTAGGCATGTGCACCCTGTACAAGTTGTCGTGCGTTTGCCTGTTCCCTTGAGCAGTCGATTCATCCTCTCCATCATCATCTGAACTCCTGCAGACGGGAGGAAAGTTTCTCTTCAGGGCTGCTGCAGAGCAAACCAGACCAAGCACGTGGTGTTGCTTCTCCACCCCCCTCTTTTCCCTGCTTCTGAGTAGTACAGCAACAGCTTCCTTCTCACAGCAACCACCTCCCCCCAGAGAAGAGAATGACTCAGACCTCCCACAACTGCAGCCTGGGCTTTCAAAGCCTGTCACATTTCTTCCCACAGAGCCTGCCAAATAACTCAGAACCAACAAAGCAGTCTTCCAGGAGCTGGTGCAGGATAGCTGGGGCTGATGGGAATTGCAGTCCAAAACAGCTGGAAGGCATCAGGCGGGGAGAGGCTGGAATACAGGATGGCAATGAACACAGCCACTGGATGCGTAACTAATCTAAGGGGCCAGTATAATATTAAGACTGTGGGGTAAGTCCATGTAGCTGATGGACTACATGGAGTTGGCGGAAATGACGGGCAGAATCCGAGACCAGGGAGACGAGTCGGTGGAAGAAGATTGGAAAAAATTTAAAGTATATTTACAGAAATACTGTAACATTGATGAATGTTAGAAGGATGCTGGAAAGAAGTTATATGGCTTTAGCAGAAATGTTATAAAGAATTAAGTAAGTATAGATTGATAATGGGTAAAGGTGTAAAAAATGCAAAGCTAAATTGTGTTAAGACAAATTATGGAGCTAAATTTGAGAAAGAGGGAAAGAATTTGCTGAAACAACTAATTGAACTGGAATACAAAAAAGGGAGGTGTGAGGAAGTCAAGGAAATAAGTAAAGGAAAGATAAGGATATGAAAATACTGGTTTCTTTTCTTCTTTTTTAAATGTTTTTGTCTTTTAAATGTTTTTGTTTTTTCTTTTTTAATGTTCTGATGTATTGTTGGTGTTTTTTATTGTATTTCCCCCCCCATTTATTTTTGAAACTTTGTAACCTTTTATTGTGTGTTTTCTTTTTTCTGTATCTGTTAAACTCTAATAAATATTTTTTATAAATATTTTTTTTAAAAAAGACTGTGGGGTAAGAAGGCGGCCACACATACACAGACACCTTTTTACAAGTTAGGAGATTTCCACATTCTGTCAGTATTATTAACCAGTACTGAAGAATTTCGGGGATGTTTTATATAAAGACAGGCCAACTTCTAGCTTACAGGATCTATTTTGTGTTTGTTTACTACAATGTCTACTGACTGGAACCTGGGCAAAAATAGTGGTTGTGGCAGAGACAGATGTCAAATGGTGGCTCAAGAGCTGAGGCCAATTGCCTACTGTACTCCAGGAGCCAGCCTACATCCAAGTTGCTGCATTCCAAAGATCCTAGGACCTAGCACAAAACACAAGCTGCCTGGCAGAGTCTCACAAACACTTGGTCAGAAGCAACTAATTCATACCCCTATTTTATAGAGAAGGCATTCTGAGGCTCAGAAACAGGTGATTAGTACAAAACCAGCCATGGCAAGTTTTGCTAGGTTTTAATGGGTTCATTACTGAGTTAGAAACCCTTGCCAATCCACTACAAATCACCCAGAAATCTACCAGTAGATCCCAACTTACCTTCTTTCTATCCTGTTTTTCCTAACCACAGGATTTAATATTTGTGTCTACACCTGATATGATAGACAGGGGAAGTATTTTTCCCCTATTTGCAGGTTTTTTTGGTACAACACTTTTTCAAAACAGCTCTGTAGATATTTAAAGAATAAATGCACACTCCAAAGCTCACAGAAATAATGAGCAAGTGATAGAGACACTTTGAAAAGTAAAGCTATAACCAACCATGGTGGGGAATGGACTACATTGTATTCTGAAAGAAAAGTCACGAGAAAAAACCTACACAACACAGGCCACAAGTGTGTAAGGGGTCCAAAGCAGGCAATGGTTAGAAACTTTTAAGTAACAGACAGAATTGGCATGTGGCTTTCGCATGTCTGAAGGAAGAAGAGGAGGAAGGGCAAAGACTATGGTGCAGCAAAACTCTGCCTGGGCTTACATAACCAGCAGCTTATCTGTGGGACCCAATAACCTTCTCAGGTGTAAGACGTGCTAGCTGCATCACATTCAAAGAGTGATCAAGGAATCTGGTTTCCAAACAACAGTTAATTGGGTAACTTGAAATGTGTTCCACAAGGTGGCAGTGAACATTTGCTGAACAACAGGAATTAAGGGTCAGCAACACGGCATTTTATGTCTCCTGAACATTTTACAGGTCAATCTTATTAAGTAGCCTTTTTGACATTAAAGACAATCCTAATCGCTCCAGGAAGACTTGCCATCCCATGCCAGTCAGTCCTTCCCAAACAGTCATGACATTTCTCTTTTAATGCTTATTTTGCAGCCCACGGACGTCATATCCTCTAAACTTAGCGTCTTGAATAGTACTATTGGGTAGTGTGAGGAGTTGTGGCTAATAATGTCTGCTTGAGATGACTTAGTGGGTGGATTTTAGTCCAAAATCTAAAAGACTGCCATGCATAACACTTCCTTCCCTGCTCCATTTGGCCAGTTTCTCCCAGGGTTCCACATTGCCCTGCATTGTACTGCTTGGGTAGTCTGCTTACATCACACAGAGCTGTCAGCTCCTTTTCCTCAGCCTCTGGAATCCCAGCATGTGGATGACACACAACTATTTTTCCTTTTCATCTAATACCAAAGGCGCTGCTGTGGTTTTGAATCGCTGCATGGAGACTGGATGGGGTTAAGGGCTAATAAACTGAGGTTTAATCCAGATGGAGACGTTCCTCTTTAAAAACGAGATGGACCCTAGAAAGGAGATTCACTCCCCTTAAAGAATCAGGTTCGCAGTCTGGGAGCCTGCTCCTGGAGGCAGCTTTATACAGTGGTACCTCGGGTTACATATGCTTCAGGTTACAGACTCCGCCAACTCAGAAATAGTACCTCGGGTTAAGAACTTTGCTTCAGGATGAGAATGGAAATCGTGCTCTGGCAACGCGGCAGCAGCAGGAGGCCCCATTAGCTAAAGTGGTGCTTCAAGTTAAGAACAGTACACCAGCTGCACCCATTCCCAAGGAAATGGACATCCAGGTTATTGTAACATAGTCTACATGGGGCTCCGACTGAGGAAAGTCAAAGTGTGGACAATTAACCTTTAAAACTTTAAATCGTTTCTGTCCAGGATACCTTAGGGATCACCCTCCCCCCATATCATCCTGCTTGCTCCCTAAGGTCTGAAGGAGAGGCTCTTCTGTGTCCCATCTAGAGTAGAAGCACGTCTCAGTGCTATAAGACAGGGGATCTTCACAGTGACTGTTTCCAGATTATGGAATGCCTTGCCCATTGTGTATTGTTTACACTGAGTTGCAACAGCTCTTCAGTGTTTCAGACAGTGTCCTAGCCCTACCTGAAGACGCCAGAGATTGAAACCTTCTGCATGCAAAGCAGGTGTTCTAGCACTGAGCTATGGCTGCTGATTCCTGTCTCTTTGATTTGTAAACAACTTAAGACTTTTTCTTAAAAATACTGGGAGGCATATACAATTATCTAAATAAATAAATGCATCGTTTTATACATTGTTGCTTTTTATAAAACTGAACTTTAAATGTTGTAAGTAGCTGTGAGTGGTGCTCTTGTACCAGAAAGAAGAGATATAAACGTTTTTGTAAGCAAAATAAAATAGTCTTGAGTGTGAGGCACCACTGTTCCCTCTGTTTGTGTGCATACCTCTTTTGCTGCCAAGTGTGCGGGACGCTGCACACTATAGAACTGAACATGAGGGCAGTGACAAAGGAGAAGAGAACCAGATAGATAAGCCCTTCCACACCATCATAGCAGAAGCCCGTCAGAGATTGTATGTAATCCTAAAAGGAGAGAAACAGAGCAAACTCTTTCAAGCTCAAGATGGAAGGCAACACTGCCGCCTGGCGTCCCACCTGCACAATTCCTCCATTCAAACATGTGTCGTAACACTGTGTTTTATTTTGTGAGACTGTCATGAGAGCTTTTTAAAAAATGGTTCACCTTCTAAAATTGCACTTTTAAAAATGCAAAAATAATGCAACAGTATAAATAATAAGAAAAAAGAAATTCAAACCCTATAGTTCTTGGGTGTATTGCTGTAATACATTAAGCATGTTACTGGTCATAGCAATAATTTATAAATCTCATCTATTTTTATTTTCCAGGTATCACATGAGGATGCTCCAAAGGAAATCAGAACTGAAAGAACTCTAACAAGCAGTAGATGCTGACTTTTCATCCTAATGCTTTCTACAGAGACAAATACATTAAGGTCAACAGCCAAGAAGCGAAGCCAGGAACCAGGAAGTCACCAGTTCAAGTCCTACATCTGCTACAGACTTAACCAGGTAGTCTTAGGTAAGCTGTTCTCCCTCAGCCTCAAAACTATCCACCTGCAAAGTGCAGACAATGATAAACCTTGCATGGTTGTTGTAGGGATTACAGAGCTAACACACGCAAGGTACCCCTGAACACTACTAAGTATTATTAAAGTTACAAGAACACCAAAAAGAAGAGGAGAGGCACACTTCTTTCTCTGGCTGTTGCTTTTCAAAATCAGTCTTAGCTAAATATGTACATCATAATCCAAGTGTGCTGCTGCCCTGCCTTCATGCCCCTTCAAGCTTTACACAGAACCATTATCAAATCATTTCAGTGTATCTTTGCTGCCAAGGAAAGGCCAAAATGGCATGCCAACATTGTTTTTTCCTCCAATGGGGAAGGCCACCAGATTCAGCTTGTGTAAAAGTATGTGCCGCTCATGGTGTTCAAATGTCCCTGTTGCACAGTGAAGCTCAAGATGAGACAGGCTGCCTTGGGCTGAATGCAGTGTTCTCTGTCTGCAAGTGCTCTTGTGCTAGTGGACAAGTGAGTTTTAATGTTGTGCAACAAAGGAATCCTGCTTATGCATTCTTGCACAACAACATCCCACTGGTGCGAAACATATCATGAGCGGAACAAATATACTACTAAGTGACTTAGCGCTACATTTGATACAACCTCTAGTTTCCTTGCAAAAAATGCAATTGGGGCCCACCTGGTTTTCTATATTCTGTCCTTTCGCAGTACACCATATCCCAGCTTTTCACACCACAGCTCTATAGCTACAAGCACCAAGTGATTTACTGTATTTCCTGCCCACTGGTACTCACCAAATGCAGACTCCGACAGTCCACCAGAGCAGTCAGGTGCTGCAGGTTGCTTTCGGTGGTATTCAGAACTCCCTGGATTTGACTGATGTGCTCCTAAAAGCAAAGATGTTAGACAGGAATTGGAATGCAAAGCTGGGCATTTTCTTTACTGGGTTTGTGGAAAGGAATAATTCATCAAGCTTTACCTTGGAAGCGGGGTATTCTTTGACAGCAGACTTCATCAGCTCCAGCACATCATCCTGCATTTCTACCAGGACCTTGTGGCTTCCCGACAGCTTCTGCTCAACACAAACATCATATCTCAGTCATCAGGGCCAAGGGAAGTCAGCATGCATGCAATGACTAGATCTCGATTTGACAAGCTGCCCTAAATTATTGAAGCACTGTCTAGAAGAGTAGCCACCAGTATCCTACACAGGAGAACCGTAGTGTGTCACACTGTGAATTAGAAGCCGGCAGGATGGGGGTGGAAGGCCCCAGGTTCAAATCCCCCCTCAGGCATAAGGCTTACAAGGTGACTTTGTCAGCCTAAGCTGCCTCACAAGCTTTCTGAGAGAGGAAAGGCAAAGGCCTTTTGTGAAAACAAGACTCAGAAACAAAAAAAGTCAGCCTTTATTTTGTGCTTCTTTCCAGGTCTGCAGGTTTTCTATGTACGTTGGAAAGTGGGTGGCAAAATTCAGAGTTGGTGTTCCATGTTTATAAAGAAAACACACTCCAATTAGCAAACTACAGGCACACCAAAGTTTTCATTACATAAACACACCCTGTGGTTTGCTTGTTTTCCTTGTATTATGATTTATTTTTAAAATTATGTGAAGGAGACACAAATTTCGTAGTCTAAATTGTTTTCAAATGTTGTGCCAGGGAGATTAGCTTTATGTACTGGGCCTTTGGGCTTTTGCTGCAATACCCTGTGTGATTGCTACTCAGATAATTTACCAGAGAGCCTGACCTCCTGAGAGAAGACTGGGGACCAACCAGATTGCTGTCCCCATAGGGATCATTTTTGGTTTCTGCGCCTGGAAGGGGGTTGTGTGGTGACCTGAATTTGAAGACATGGGTCAGTTTCCATAGCAAATAGCTGTTTTCACATTAATTAAGAGCCCTTCCTTGCTGCTCCCCTAATCAAATATTGGCGAGCGTTTCCTGGCATTTGCTTTGAGAGCAGATGAGATCATAGTGAGACATGGTGAATGGCCAAACCTCCTGCCCATTGTTCTTAATACATTCATTTGGGCTCTCCTTTTTAGCAGCAGATGAAAAAATACTCTGACGTTTCGGAGAAGCTAGCTTGGAGACTTGCTGTTAAGACTCCTGGTCATGTCAAAGTACAGCTTAGTGAAAGAGAAGTGTGTGGGCTGAGGAACTCACCTGCTGAAACGGATTTAGGGAGCCAGCATTGCAGACAAGATAATAGTTCAGAGTATCTGTCAAAAGGGAAGACAAAAAAAGGGGTAGCAATCAAGGCTTCATATCTGGCTCTGGTTACAGCTTGCTATTCCTGTAATACCGGAATATTTTGTTCTGAACAACCTGCCAAACAGGTATGCCCTAGAAAAATTGCCAGAGGGCTGGGAGGATGTGGCATGAAATGAAGCTCAATGAATCTTCAAAAAGGAATAGTCTCAAATGTGATGGTATTTTAAAAATATCGCCACCACACAAATTTTCTCTCCTGCAAGTCACATCAGTGGCACCGTATTAAAAAGAGACAAGGCTATTTTAAAAGAAATTTTTAACTAATCACATGACTTTTCTGGAGAAGCTGTTCAAAAGTATCATACCACTAAGAGCCGACAGTCTTCCTCTAACCTCTGCATCAAACATAATGCATGATGTTCTCCCTCCTACTCCTCATGGAGTGTAAAAAAGGCTTTAAAAAACAAATATTTGAACAGATAAAAATGCTGGTATTGGGAAGGGGGGACAAAACAGGTAGGCTGACTGAAGAACTGGATTGGGGGCAGAAAAGAGCCAGGATGGGGGGGGGGGACAGAGTTCAACCTGCACCAGACACCCTGCACCCCCCCCTCTCTCTCTCTCACACACACACACACACACACACACAAATGTGAGAAAGCAGACTTTCTTTTACTCTCAGGTGTATAAGAGACTGAAGAAAAATTGATTACTTGAGCATGAGTTAACTTGAGCTGGCCAGTCATTTCTCGCATGCAGAAGGACTGACATTCCCCACTGTGTAAAGGACAGTGTGCCAACGGCAATAAACGCAAGTGCCAATCTGATAAAAGGAAGCCCAACAAAGAGCTGCTTCTTGGGCACCAGCTTCAGATAATTTTTCTGAGAAGGCAAGAGGTGCATTAAGGCACCTAACTTTGGTATAACGTCCAGAAGAGGACCTACCTCAGGTTGATACAATACAGAATAAAGTCCTTTTCAAAACATGAGAAGGGCCCTCACACTGCTTTCTCACCCAATTGCATATACAAGCACTACTACTACTAGGTTTCTACATCATTCCTAAATACTGTCACCGAAAAGGAAAGGAAAACGAGCTCATACAACATTTCACAGCCTGGCTTTTAATCCTTTCTTGATACAGATACGGTGGGAGTGAGTTATGCACAACCAACCATTTTCTCCCCAATTCGTCCTGTCAGAGCCGTCCTGAACCAGTTTTAATGGGATTCCCATTTCTCACCCTTAGTCTCTTTGGCTCAGCTTCCATGCCTCCTCCATAAGGCACGGTCACGGACAACAGCCACAAGCAAACAAATAAAAAATAAGGAAGCCACAAGGAAGCCTATGGGACTTGTATTTTGGTCTACACACCCTGCACATGGTGAAAAGGAGGTGGGGGGAAAGCAGTTGTTCTAATTGACCATGGTTTTGTAGGGGAAGAAAAAGAAACAGCCAGAAAAGGGGAGCAGCAGCCAGTGAACAGAGCTGGCCAGACTTTCTCCTTGTTTCACTGCACTTACCATTAATATTGAACACAGTTTCCAGAAACCAGTGCACACGCTGGAGAGACAGCTTCGTATGGGGCCGCCTGCCTGCTAACCAGGGAACCTGACAGCTGTTATTTATAATTCATTAGCCCGCTTTGGGGCTGCTTCCAGCTGCTGCACCTTCTCTCACCCACTGAATTTCTCTTTGGGAGGACTTGCGCTTGCAGCTCAGCTGAGCCAATCCAATGGTACTCAGCAGAAAGTGAGAAAGTAGGGGCCTCCTACGTGTATTCCCCAAAAGGGGTTTTGCCATGAATGACTAGGAATGGACGACTATCTATCAGACTACTAAGCATTTGACCCCAAGAAAAAACCCTGTGTATCCAGGTCTGTATTCATGAGCAGGCCTTTCCAGAGCAAGAGCAGAGTCAACATACTAGCACTGCGTCCAAAACTATTCCTCTACACATGGCAATGTACTCTCATGTATGCATCAAGCCACAAGGGGAGACAACAAATTCCAGTGAACCTGAACACCCCTAGATTCTACTGATGTTAACTCCTTGGTAAGGCTATGACTTGGGGTAAACATGTGCATGTCAATTCAAACCTCTACTGTCAAAGAAGAAGTCATTTATTTACAGATTGCCCTTCATCCTACAGGATTCCAGGGCTGTGAACACACAAGACAAAACAATGCAACAATTAATTAAAAATGTAATTGAAACACCACACTGGGCTAATAAAACAATTCAGCAGGAGCACAGCCATGCCCACTTACAGGCTGCCAACAAAGGTTGTGTGAACAGATGCGTTTTAAGCTGTCATCCACAAACCATCAGTGCCAAGGGCAGCCTTTATCTCTAGAGCAGAGGAAGTTCCACAAATCGAAGGGCTGCAGCCCATGATAACTGATTCATCATTCCATGGTTATGGGAATGCTGCTCCAGGCAAGAAACCACAGGACTGACTTTAGGGCACAGACCAGACATTCTTTCAAAATGCCACAAGCTGGATTGATGCACACAACACACCTCTTGGATGAGCTCACAGCCAGACGTGGATGGGGAGTGCTGCAGAGAAGCATGCAGGCTTAGGTAGTCTAGACCTGCCTTAGGTGACCATTGAACACATCAGTGAAATAAAGACATGCTGCTCCACACAGCATTGGATTAGTAACATGAAGGAGTAGCAGCATCCCAGCAGTGATCGACAGATTTGAGAAGCAGGTGCACTCTATTCCTGGAGCATTCTTACAGCTTGAATTATATTGTCACAGGCCAGACTCTTAGGTATGTCAAGAATAGCTTGCTATACTTTTCATTCAGTGCTTGAGCACTGAAGCAGAAACATGGGAAGTGGGTCAAAGCAAGTACCTCACAGAATCCATGTCACACAAGCCGTGTAGCCCATATTGATCCTGTATATTGCCACATGTGATGTAGACATGCAGGTGGGCTCTGGATGCACACCCATCTAAAACAGTGCAGATGTGTGTCTACTGCACACAGACAACTCTGGATGACTTCAGGACACTAGTGTGCTTGCCTGCACCTCAGTGATCCAAAGAGAGCAACAATTCTGATGAGAAGGAGTGAAAAGTCTCTGTTTAATGGCAGTTTTCTGAGAGGGGCATATCAGCAAAGTGGGCTGCTCTTAGGCGAGCCTGGAGAAATCAATAATTCAGTGCAACTACCCAATGCATGAAGAAGTTGTGCTGTGCGTGCGTATGACTTGTCTATTGGGTGGGGGGAAGCCACACTGACAGTTCTGGAAATTGAAATCCTGTTCACAGAACGTGCATAGCATGAGTGGATGGGAGAACAGGCTACCCTGTCAGCATCCCTCAAACACCACCTAGAAATCCCCCACCCCCACAATAATTCAGTCTATGCTGTCTATCTGGTACAGTGGTACCTCGGGTTAAGTACTTAATTCATTCCGGAGGTCCGTTCTTAATCTGAAACTGTTCTTAACCTGAAGCACCACTTTAGCTAATGGGGCCTCCCGCTGCCGCCGTGCAATTTCTGTTCTCATCCTGAAGCAAAGTTCTTAACCTGAGGTACTATTTCTGGGTTAGCAGAGTCTGTAACCTGAAGTGTATGTAACCCGAGGTACCACTGTATTGGGTTCAACATCCATGGAGACCAGAAAGGTGTTGTGGAGAAAGGGTTATTTTACTTTAAGAGGTTGTTATAATCGAGTGCAAACCTTGATAGAAAGGGGATGGGGAAAGATTCGACAACCTAACAGGGGTCAACAACCTGGCCCCCACAAAGCCTTCCATGGGTGAACTTGGGCTCCTCAGCCTCTGAGCTTTCTTTTCTGTTTTTTAAGTACCGTATTTTTCGCTCTATAAGACGCACCAGACCACAAGACACACCTAGTTTTTGGAGGAGGAAACGAGAAAAAAAATATTCTGAATCTCAGAAGCCAGAACAGCCAGAGGGATCGCTGCACAGCGAAAGCAGCAATCCCTCTGGCTATTCTGGCTTCTGGGATAGCTGCGCAGCCTGCATTCGCTCCATAAGACGCACACACATTTCCCCTTACTTTTTAGGAGGGAAAAGGTGAGTCTTATAGAGCAAAAAATACGGTAAGTCTCTAGCCCTCCAAGAAAGTTATGGGACAAAATGTGCAGGCACCTTCCAAGTGATTTATGTGAAATGAGAGTGCAGCCACCTTGCATATCTGTCCTGGTACTAAGATCGCCAGGCGTGGTTCTCTCTCAGTTGCACAATGGGACAGACAAAGGCATATTTAAGCAACTCTCATCCTATTCACACTACATAGGGAGCAGAGGTGATTAAAGTGACCCCCTGACTCCATTTCAGAGGGAATGGCTATGATGGGACCCATGAAGCTTAAGCTTATTTTATTTATGTCATAGAATTTGTACACCGTTTGATTGTAAAGCACCTCCAAGCAGTTTGCAAAAATACAGAACAATATGGAGACAAATCCACAACCATACTTTAAAATATACAGAAGTTTAAATGTTGGTGTTCGCACAGCACAGGAAGAGGTCCAAACACCAAGAAGAGGTCTGCTTGTGCCTTGCACCTGTCAAAACTTGTTTGCTGCCAAGGGAAGATGGTAATTTGGAGTAGAGAATCAGCAGAGGGAAGAGGTTTTTAACCCTTTCCCCACTTGTTGCTTCTCCGCTCCAGATCACTAGGGAATGGGGTGTCCTGAAGTAAAGGAACAATGGGGTGGTGGTGTAAACTAACCATGCACTTCCCGACTCCAAATCAATCCCTTGCAAAATGAAGATTCTCCTTTAGAAGTAGTATATTGTTTTTTCCGGCTCAGAGGGGATTATGACAATACATGTATAAAGACCAATGGTGATGAGCTCAGAGACCTTGACAACTACTAATTAAGGGAAAAGCGTCCCCACGCTCTCTAATTACTTCCCTCCTCCGCCCATCATAGACCTGTTAGAAATGAGAGACTTTTCAGCCCAGATACATGGCGTCTGATGCAGCATCATTCCAGTCAGTTATCCTATCCAGACACAAAACATCTTATTGTACATCACCTCTGAACTTTACTGAATCACTTGGTAATAAAACACAATCAGCTGGAAGGACTGGGGCTGGCAAATGGCCTCCTGCCTTGAAAACAAACGTATTGGCTGCACTGGGGTTCCCCTAGCAGTGCAAGATGATTATCCCATCAGCGTCCAACTCTATTGGCCTTATCATACTTAATGAATACTAGATGAGCTGAGCATATAATAATCTAGCCTTCCTGCACACCAAATTGCTTCATTTCCCTCTGCTCCATTCCACCCCCTCCACACAGCATGTGGAAAAACAAAACAAAAAGAATCTCATCTCATCTCTAAACTGTGAGTGGAGAAGATGATACACATAATCAGATTATCTTCTGCGCCATTTATTCTGCTTAGATTTGAAACATGCCAACGTAATTTGGGTATATTTAAAAGCATTTCAATTTCTGCTATTCATTGTTGTTGTTTTCCAACGGGAGGAAAAATGCCACACTATCCTACAATTAAATGCAACTATGGATATAAGGATCATGCATCATACAGAAGATCACATCTATCGGTCTGGCTGGGATGCTATCAAAACAAGCAATTTATATCCCTGATTAGGAAAAGCAAGCTTGATTTTAATTTCAAATTTTCTTCAGTCAAGTTACTTATGGAAAATTCCCCTATCAAAAGCTCTCCAGCTCAAGGATCTCTTCTGTATTTCTTAAACTCAAGTTGCCTTAGCTAGTCCTGGGTCTTGGCAAAGGGGAGACACATCTGGCCCCATCCATCCACCAAAGTAGGACCAGTTTGCTTCCCCAAACCCGGCCAGAAAACAACAACCACACACTGAGCTCCAAATGGTAGTCACTTGGGATTGCAGAACTGAAGGGAAGCATTTATCTGGCCTCTGTCACCAGCTAGGAGACTTAGGACACTAGAAGACTGACTCCCAGGAAGTACATCATAACAAGGGGTAGATCAGCGTTGCCTCATCTGTTGGTTGGTTGAAGGAGCGGCTGCTGCCACCCTTGCTTTCCTCTTCCCTCCCCATTCCTTTTTCCTTTTGTGTTATGTCTAGCAGATTGTGAGTCTGTAGGCAGAAACTACCATATATACACAATTATGAAGTTGCAGATATAGAGCGCAAGGTGACTTCTATTCTGGAATGCATCTATTTTATGGAATCGGAAAAGCTTCCAGGGCAAAAACAAGCAATGTTACTCATGTAACATTTGCTATAATTCTATGGACATTTACCATCTCTTTCAGGGTATGTGTCAGGGACTAGCAGCTGAATGGTACACTGAAGTTGCAGGGGGGGGTTAAAAAAACAAAATAAACAAGAAATACATACCACTGAGGAACACCCAGCTGACTTCCCCATTAGTCAAGTGGGGGATATACCTGGATGGAGTGGCAGCAAGGGAACTTTTGGGCAGCCCACCCTTGGGGGAGGGATACTGCCTGGCCTATCCCAAAATAGCTCTTCCACAAAAAGTCGTCACTGGCCAAAATTTTATATTTGCCCAAATTGCCCCAAAATGCTTTGCAGTGGTTCTGCAATTGCTGTGCTGCCCCTTGTGCACTTCTAGTCACCTTAGCCTTAGTATGTGGCTTGGCACTCCTGTCTTGAGTAGATTCTGGGGACACAGTTAGGGAGGCCCCTTTCCACAGCACCCCTACTCTCTTGCTTGCAGCACATAGTTATTTGGGGTGGGTGGGTTAGTCCTTGCCTTTTGGAGCATGGACTGAATGCTTCCCCCACCCCCACCTTCCATGTCTAGACATGGCTATATCAAGTTTATTTTTACAAATGGGTTAATTAAACCAGGAGTTGTTTATGCATTATAAAGAAACAAATCTTTGTTGGCAGGGTTAGGGGGTGATCTTAAATCATCAGTTACTAACAAATGTTGTTTCCATGTACCCAGTAAGATATCAATGCAGATATATAGTTGCTTAAAAATAATTAAATAGGTAGCTAAACCACATTGTTGACAGAACTATCCCTGCCATGAAGGAAGTCTGCAAAGCCCCATTAGAATCCTGCACAAGCACCACAGCTGTCACCTGCTCACCCAAGGAGCAGTTCAGCCATCTATTCTGCCTCCCCCTTTCCCGCCTCGACTGCTATCGAAGCACCGTTTTGTCAAATGGACCGTTACCTACCGAGACCCAAATTGAAGGCATCATTCATCTGCTACCTTTCTCAGTCTAGATCAGGTGAGGCAAAGCCCAAGAGAGCACATTACTCAGCTAAGGTGTTCAATTACCCCTTTGTCACAGATGTGTCAAGAACCTCTGCTACTAAGCCTAACAAATTAGTGCAGAGAGCTCAGGCTTCCCAGGGCTAAACACAGCTGAATGCTGAGTTTATACAAAGACCCGGAGGCAGGAAACCCTGGATTTCAGCATTTGTGAACATGCATGCAGCTTACTGGGGGAAGGGTACAGAGATTTCAGTATTTCTCTACCCTATCCCCAATTTCTTTGTAGAGCAGAAGAACAGAAACATCAGTTAATGCCATTTAACAAATAATCACTGGTTCAAATTTAAACCAATTTTAAATCAGTGGTGTCTCCTGCAAAAGAGGGTTTGTCTATAAATAAATGTCTCTTGATTCTGAAAACACATAATAGATGTTTTTCTTATATTTTGCTCAGAATGAAAAACATTATTTGTTACATGCCTTCAAGCTACAAATTGTATTTAGAAATAAGAACATTTTCACTGTTTTATTTTTTTAGTTATAAGCAGTGTTAGAAACTCAGATATATAAGGTAGGTGCCAAATGGCTCCTTATACCAAGGTGTGTGAAAACCTTCAAGATCCAATGATCTCCAGGCAGGCACCAGAAGATGTCAGGCAGCATCCTGGTGCCCAGGCATCTTCACTTGGTTGCAAGTGGCTGATAGCCAGGTGCAAAATGTGCCTGGCACCTGGCTAATTTCGAAGATTGGTTATAAGCCAGGATTTTTACACTAGAAATCATGGTGGATTGATGGTGAAAAAACTTAACATACTGGAAAAGATAGTGGCTGAAACCAATTTATTCTTGGATTGTAACAAAACATTCATTTTCTACATCAGGGGGAGAACTGGACAGTTTATTGTAGAATGTCTATCACCTGCTAGTTGACAAAGCTCTTGCAAAAAGGTGGATCTTGGATAATCCAGCAAGGCAGCTAGGTTAATCTGTCTATTTATTTTAAGAATCATGCAAGTCATAGTTAATCTGTGTTAACTGTTAAGAGACCCTGAGCACACAGTTTTGTGTTGTAGATTTAAACACACACACTAGTGGTCTACTGGGATTCTTTCGTCGTCTAATGTTTTACTGCTGTTGCACTTGAATCTGAATTTCCCAAAAATGTCAATACAGTCCCATACTACACTTTTAAGGAAACATTATATTTCTCTCTTTCTTAATGTTCCAGCCTATTTAACTGCCCTGTCTGGCATGACAGGGGACTGGATGCTTTTAAATTGAGATGCTCACTCGTTCTGGCTTTTATTTTGCTTTCAAAAGAGATCTCATATTCCCAGAACTACAAAAAGCCAAGATCAATCCACAGAAACATGAATCACAGTTTCAACACATGAATGGATTTCCATTGTTTACATAGCCATCATACCAAATCCACTTGCATCTATTTGTGTGGAGTCACCAACACAGTATGAGCAGTGGCTACTTTGAATTATATTTCCACCAACTGGGCTTCTTTCCTTATATACAGAAGTCATTTAAGCAATCGCAGGTTCCTTAAGGAAACTGGTGAAGGCTGAGGGTACAATCCCTCAATCAGTCAACCAGATTCTCACACAGATATCCACACACTCACCCATAAAAACAAAACCTTGCATATCCCCTGTCTCATATGCTTCCACAAAGACCCTGGACAACCCCTTGGTCACATACTGTTTTACTGGGAGAACTAGGACTTGGGAAAAGAGATGCTACCATGCCCATATCAGAGGACCTTCTTTGAAGATGCCAACTGTCATTGCCTTGCTGTTCCGCTGCACTGGAAGCCAAGACATCCGGGTCATGCCATGGCATATTCAATGGAGACAAAAGGGACAGAGGAGGGGGAAAGGCAAAGGGGGAATACAGTACCCTGACACCACAGCTTATGCCAGGCCTCAGTTCACTGAGATGAACCAAGGTTCTGGTGACATGGGCCATCCTCACACCTCCTACCCTCTTCAACCTAACCCTCCATTTCTTGCCTTTCTACAAAACACAAAATGCAGTCACTTACCTGTACTTAGCACCGCATAATCCTCTACCACTCTGGAGATGTAGGCATCAGGGTTAACACAGAAATCACTGGAACCCTAAAGAGGAGCAGAGATAGCACAAGTAGTAAGAAACACAGGGGGAGAAATAATAACCAGTAGAGCACAAAAACATTTTATCCCCTGCCCTGATATAACTCTTCCCAATTTGATCTTCAAACGTATCTTTTAAATCATGATTTTATAAAAGCACCCAGCTCTAAGAATGTATGGCACTCCTGCAGAAGATCTACACGTTCAGGATGTCAGATTTCTATCCAACCATCTGGATATGATGAAAGATGCACACCTCATCTCATCTACCTGCTTTCCACTTACCCCAACAAATCTCTCTATATGTAGATGATAGCAGATCTAGGGGGAAATTGGCCAGTTTTTGATGTTCAGGAAGGAGTTTTTGTGGTCAAGCATTCAAATATGGAAACTCCTCACCATCAGCACTAACACATAAACTTTAAGCAGTTCAGTCCAGGAAAACTTTGCCACTTGATTCTGCTGAAAGTATAAAATATAAGTATAAAATGCCTCCCATTTTAAAAGGGGGGCACTGGTAGTAGCAACCCTGCTTCTCCAAAAGCATTTTGTCAAGAAATGATACATATCAACAGCTCCTTGAAGTGTAGAAAAATAAGGCTTACAGTAATTTTTAAAAATAAAGACAAAGAAGCTTCATTGTCTCTACACAGGAACAATGTGTAAACCACAGTCCCACATAACTGCTACTAGAAGCTGCAGCCTTGATTCACTTACACCATGGGTGCAGTACTTGGAGCTAGAGCAGCCAACATGATGGTGCCAGACTACACCTTCCACCATCCCTGACCACTGGCTAGACCAGCTGGGGTTTGTGGGAGTTGTAGTTCAGCAAACATCTGGAGGGCTTCATAATACAGTGGTACCTTGCGTTACAGATGATTCAGGTTACAGACTCCGCTAACCCAGAAATAGTACCTCGGGTTAAGAACTTTGCTTCAGGATGAGAACAGAAATCGTGCGACGGCAGCGGGAGGCCCCATTAGCTAAAGTGGTACTTCAGGTTAAGAACAGTTTCAGATTAAGAACGGGCCTCCGGAACGAATTAAGTTCTTAACACGAGGTACCACTGTACTTATCCTAGCCTGGAGGAATCCCATTATTCCTGCCCCCCACATATGGGCAGAGGGTAGAGGAGAATTTGAGAGATCTCCCATTCTCCCTGCTCTGAATGGCTTGTGCTACCTTGGCAGGTGCGGGGGGGGGCAGGGAAGAGGCATGGGCCTATTGGGACTTTTTTTTTTATTGTTAATTGTTCTATCCAATTTTAATATTGTGATTTTGCACTGTAGTAGTAGTAGTGATAAAAATAATAATACACATGGGTGCTGCTCCTGTGGTACAGGTGGACTGCAGCCTAGGTGTTTTTTTTATCTAGCAGTAAATAATGTGTCAATGGAGAGAATGGTTCACCTGTCTGCTAAACAGCAGTGCAAGGTGTGTGAGCTTTGTATCATAGCCACTTACCACAGCAACAGCTAACTCCAGACCCAGGGACCCCCAGCTCACAATGAGGGCAAGCACCCCTAGAAGACACACTCTGCAGGAGAAAGAGAAACAGGCTCAGTTTGGCAGACACCTTGGCTCCACTCTAATACCTTAATCTGAAGTGTAACTTCTAATTTAGAGTTCAAAGCAGTAAGGAGGAGGAAATGTTGCCAAACAATTTACGTTTCCATAACTGGAAATCTAAAGGAGTAGCTGCTTCGATAAGCACCCTGACCTCTTTGTTGTGGAATAACAGCGCTATATAAATAATTATTTACAGGAAACCACAAAGCAGGCCACTTATGAACAGAACAGTTACTTTGCAGTTCATTTTTTGCCCTATGCCCTTCATATTTGGAATCGGTGAACTTTCTTCTTTCCTTCTACACCTGAAATGCACAAGACCAAATGCTGCTGGCTCACTACTTTGATGGGGATTTGAGGATTGAATGAGCAGGACAAGTAGTTTTAGGTTCTCTTGTCCTGAAGATTGGCTGTGAGGAGACACTGCCCAAAGGGTCTGGGACTGCAGTCCAAAAGTGGGAACAGCAAACATACATATTGTTGTGCAAGGAACACTGTGTGGTCCAGCTACCGGCCTGGAGCTGTATTTCACACCCCCGACTTTTAAGAGTGCCCATAAGAAGCCATCGGCCTGACCATTAAACACCAAGCACAACAGTAGAGAAAACACTGAAGTGTGAGAGACATCTCATCTTCTCACACATTTTTTCTCTTCTTTGCAAGTAAAACTGTTGGCAATTTTTAAAAATACATATATTTTGTAATTCTGTAGGGCAGGAAAAAATGTTTTCTGTTATGTGACAATTTATATCCTGCTTTTTTGCCTAAAGACTCTGAATTAACAAAGTAATAAAATCAGGTTGTGTGATCAAACAGGCACTCTGTCTCTTGGTAAAGCAGCCCTGATCCATGACCATCCCACCATTTTGAGTTGCAAATGCTACAAGGATGATAGGCAACAGAATAGACATATTGCAGACAGAAGAGAATTTTTTCTAGAAAGCTAACAGGTACCATAATTTTTGTGTTTTAATATTTTGTTGGACACCTCCCAGAGTAGCTAAGGCAACCCAGTTAGATGGGCAGCATATAAACAATATAATAAATAATAATTAAAAAAATAAATAATAAGTCATTCTTAAAAGTAGCACAAGCAGGATCTGAGTAGAATAAGCCAATTCTGCTTGCTCAGGATAGCAGTAGATTTGTGTTTCTATTCCATTCTCACTGGCAAAAACCCCCCTGAAACTAGAGGACATTTAAAAAATAGCACTGATTGCAGTTTATTTCTAAGCTGGCCAGAGAGCTTTGTTGTGCAAACAAACAAACACTGCATGGAGGGGGTCAGTCCAAAAGGAAAAGCGAGAGCTATATACACATCCTCTGACACTCTTACATTAGTTCTCTGGATCTCAGCCCTTATCATTGCTGAAAATCCTTAGAACCGGCATCTAATTGTTAAGTCCAGGTCTCTGGAATTCTTGAATATTGTCAGTAAAACACACCAGAAGATACTATGTTAATAACAGTCTTTTGAACACTAAAACACAGGTTTTCATTATTGTGTATACATGACAATAAGCAAATCCTGTTATTAAAATGTAGGCACTCCTTTATGCATAGCTAGCTACTTTGGAAAACTACACCCAAGCATCACAAAACCCACTGCACAAATAGGAAAAAAACAACCACCACAGAAATTAAGAGATGGGACAATTAATCAAGATGATGATGACTTGGTTTTGGCGTCCTACTGAGTCATGACTGTGATATCTGAACTGATAAGCCATGGTTTGCAAACAGCCTGCAAACAATGGTTTGAAGTGGGTTTAAAGTCATAGTTTGTATGAGCTATGGTCTGATGTGATGATGACTGAATGGACTAACTGTGGGTGTTTATTTATTAGATACATTTATTACGCTTTCTTCATCAGTGGTCCCAAAGCATGTTGCATCATTACAAAACAGAAAAACATACACTGGGTTTAAATTTTTCACAGGGTACATTGTTATATGGTACTGAAGTTACAGCTATGGGCTATAACCTGGTCTCAAGTACTTCCTTTCCAGGTAAGATGACTTAGAGGGGCGTGGAAGAACAATTGCAGATATTCATGGATGACACTGCATCCATGCCAGTCTGGGGTCAGGCCTGAGTTTGGGGCTCAATTGTCACCCTGATGGATGACTTTTGTAGAGAGGAGGACAGGGGGAGTGGATGCGCCGCCTGCTCAATTTCTCAGCAGTTTCAAAATCCCCGCCTCTTGCACACACAAATTATGACTTTGATCTGCCATATGTATTTGCAGCCTGATCCTGTGTATAGTGACCCACTGATTTCATGAGCACATACTCCCAGATCACAGAGGAAAATTTTGTATTTAGATCAACAGAATTATGCAGTACCACCAAAGCACCAACTGCGTAAAAGAGGTATGCAAATCCTTGAAAATGTCAAGCTCTAGCCACATCTTGTGACTTCCCAAGTCGTAATGAAAACCATCACGTGTTATTGTATGATTTTAACTTGTCAAAACAAGGTATTTAATTTACACAGCTTGATCTTTTTTGTGCAATACACTTTCACAAGCAATAAGGAAGCTGCAGATATGAAATCCTTCTGACTCCATTAATCAACTGTGTGGATAAGTAAGTTTCTCCTGAACCACAGAATGGTAGCTGCTGTTTTGCATTTTGTTTAAGCACCTCAATGCCTTCCTTTATCAGTTTTACCCTTTTGTTTCCAAGAAACACATTCTTCATGGTAAGCATTCCCTGTCCTGCCCCCAAAATGCCTGGATTTCAAGCCTCTGTAATGTGAGATCCATCTCTAAATTAAATACACAAGTTCAACTTCTGAGTGCATAAAGATACACTGCAAATGACCAATATGCAGGTGAACCATGCACTTGAAGGGCCTTATCATCTTAACCATATTAAAAGGTCTATTACAATAAGCACATCCCCACTGGTAAGATCAAAGCACACCATAGGGACTTGGCAGTTTTTAAGATGTGGCATTTCCAACCCATACATGCATGGGTCTAATTCTGCACCACGAGGAGATATCTTCAACCAGAGACGCAGTACTGCATTCACCTTTCTTATCCATGGAGAGTACACCAGAGACCATTAGAATTACATTCACTTTGAAGAACATTTTCTCATCTTTCCAAGTTCAAAGACGGACACAAGCACACTGCAACTGTGCAACTGTTACATAAATGCACTTTCTTGCTAATGCCTCCCAGAAAAAGCCATGGCCCTGTCAGAAAAAAACCTCCAAATGACCTTTTTGAATGCAGCAAGCATCGCTCACTGAGTAAACACTACTTAATAGTGTATGGAAGACTTGAAGGGCACATAACTGAAGATTAAAACAAGTTCATTTTAATACGTTCACATACTGTTTCCACATCAACCTACCCCACAAGAATGGCCTTTGAGTTTCTAATTAGTCCAAATAGCACCAGCAAACAGATTAGGACATGGAACATGAGTAAGCCCAGGTATCCCAGCCACCTGTAGCAAAACCAAAACACAGATTAAAAAACAACACAGGAGACAATTAAAATGCGCAAAAGTGAAAAGCAAGTCTTGGACAAGCAAAGCAATCTTCTGATTCCCACACCCACTACAGAGATTGAGAAATGAATGCTACAAAGCTCATTTGCTTTGGCTTGGAGCTACATGCCATTGCATCATTATCATCACATCAATATCAAGGCAATTCAGAATTGGGCTAAGATTACTGGTAAATGCTTAAAAACCTTTCTATTTAAAAGAGTGGGGATCCTAGCACTTCTAACTACAGAAAAATAGCATAGGAAGCTGAAGCTTGAACACTCAGCTTGAACAAGCACCAAAACAGCATAAAACACACACATGTAAGAGTACACAGCCTGCTTACCTGTACCAGTCATACAGATCAATACGACCTGCCAGCAATTCTAGAGAGACGTCATCATTCTTCCAGAAAGGAATCTCTGTTGTCTGCCTCACAAGTTCATCCAAGAGTCCTTGGAGCTTTTGAACCACGTGCAGGTAATCTGTCTGTTTAGCAAACATTACCTCCAGGAACCCCAAGTTAGGCTCTGCTGTTTTGTTCAGAGCAACTGCAATATTTTGCACCTGTGGATAAAGAAAGACTGGAATGAGTTCTCCACACCAGCACAGGCACACACATAAAAGTAAAGGGCTAGCAAGTTGGTCAGCTTCAAGTGAGATGCTCTAAAGCAGCTTATCTATCATATCCAAAAACTAGCAATGCAGCTAATTGCAATGATATAGGTTTGTCCCATTAACACTCTCACACAAATTTGACAGTGCATGCAGAAATACATACTAATGATCTCTTCAGGACAGGACAGGCAGGAAGAAAGAGATGCTTTGTCTAATAGAATTTCACCAGGCATCCCGACTTTGCTGCTATGTGGCAAGGACAACCTGCTACCACAATCTTCTCAAGCAAAATTTTGGCAAATTCAGCCTGCCTCTTTTACAGGGAGGGTACTTTATTGCTCGGTGGTTGAGGGCTGCTCCAATGAAAAGAGAAAACATTCCCTTTTCTTTGTGGGCTTGCTGCAGCAAAGTGTATTTCTCAATACACAGGGGTGGCACTGCTAGAGCTAACTCTACTACCACAGATCGCTGTCCTGCTAAAACAGGGTCTGCAAATCAGCTCAGAAAGCACACCCACTATTCCAAGTGCGGTCAGATTTCATAAGTAATTTATATACAAGTGGATCTGAGCAAGGCTTTCATTCAGTGGACACAACCTGGGTTTACAAAACCAAACCTTCCTCAACTCCATCATACCATAATAGACTATTGCTTACTTGAAGACAAAGCAGGCCATGTGGTTTCACTTCTGCGTGACTGCCTCACATGTTGCACTGAAATTATTTGGGTTTATTTGTTCCATTAGGACAAATTCCTGTTTACAATAAAAACAGGTGCTAGAGGTGCCATTTGCAATATCTCCACTTCTAGACTTTCTGAAACAGGAATTCTTCCCACTTAACAATCTGCAACTTACCCTGCAAAAAAGAGGGCTAGCCCTGTTTTTAAGGGTTTAACCTAAGCATCTTCATGTAAGGAATCTCAGATAACTAAGATTGGGAAAGGCCCAGGATTGTTGCTGCTAGAGTATTGGGTTAACTGGATTATTGGTATGGCTCCCTAAGAGGCAGTTCTTTATATTCTCATTATCAAGCAGTACAGGTGTAAATTAACATTGTGGTTTTGCTGTTTTTTTGTGTTTTGTCGCTGCTCAGGAGGGTTGGGGAAAGCATTAACATGCAGCAGCTTGAACCAAGCATAATCGTGATGGAACATTACTTTATTTAACAGGTTTGACTTGCTTGGATATTTTTAGAACAAGGAATGAAAGGAAATAGAACTGCATTTCCTTCTGCTAATGGAAGCTGTCAAGGACCTGTTGGGAAGCAGATAAGACCGGAGAGGCAGACACACAGGTGGGTTCTCACCTGAGGACAAGGTTTCAACAACAGCTCTCTCCCTCTCTGTCTTTGGGGGGAGCCTTCCTCCACTTACCCGGTCTTGGACCCCTGCAACAGTGAGATTGGCGTGCCGCAGTGAAGATGTTAGCCGATGAATGCCATCACTGGTCTCCCCATTTCCATAGAAGCCAACAGCTATGCCAGCGCTGTGGGGAGACAAAATAGGAAAGAGTTTGAACATTTCAATCTATGCAGGCAGCTGCAAACTTATTCCTCATATTCTGAAGTTCTCCACAGGAAGAGAACTCTGTAAGAAAGGTTGCAACTGGATAATTATAATCCCCAAAAGAAAGAATAAGGGGAAAAACACTTCTTGTTTGTTTGCCTGCTTTAGCTCTGGATTCTAGCTAGAAGTGTAATATACAAAGCTGATGGCCCACTCACTACTGAGCATTAGTTTTAGGACAGGGAACATTTTACTGTTCCACCTGCTCTAGTGTTCCAGCACATTGCAGTTGACTCTGAGGCACCCCCAAGGGTGCAGATAGTTCATGTGGGATGGGGAGTAGTAGTAGTAGTAGTAGTAGTAGTAGTAGTAGTAATAATAATAATAATAATAATAATAATAATAATAATAATAATAATAATTTATTATTTATACCCCACCTATCTGGCTGGAGAAGCCTATTGAGTCTGTATAGACTGACTCACACTTCAGGGAAAGACAGGAAAGACAGGAAACTGTGGCCAGGCTGCCTTTCAGGGAATGTTGCCCACCATTGCTGATGTCATTGAGGAAGTCCCGATAAACCAAAGAACTCCAGATGACAGCTTAAAAACCACTGCTTTAAGAGGACAATGCAGGAGATGTGGACTTTCTAGATTTCAAATCAAGGCTTCCAGGCTTTCTACCTTGAACTTTTGGCAGGTTACACGTTCTATCCACCCAATTAGTAGAAGAAACCACCTACCTAACACAGGATACCAGAAATCTTTCCGTTTAAAATGAGACAAGAAACTGCCCATTCCAAAAGAAAACCATCAGCAGCATCACATTTGCTTTTCATGCTCAACACTGAACGATGACCAACAGGGGAAGTTATCTTCCTAAATTTATACAATGTACCATCCAGAATATTACAGTGGCAGATCTGTACCTCAGATGTTAGCAAAATGAATGGATATGCTTCTTTGTATCCAGAATACCCCTGGTGTTTCCCATAATGCAGACGGTGTTGCTACAAACAGAGCAGCTATGGAAATCTGATTCAGTTTGCACACACCACTAATAATAATAATAATAATAATAATTTATTACTTAGACCCCGCCCAACTGGCTGGGTTTCTCCAGCCACTCTCGGCGGCTTCCAACAAGAGATTAAAAATACATTAAAACATCAGTCATTAAAAAACTTCCCTAAACAGGGCTGCCTTCAGATGTCTTCTAAACGTCAGATAGTTGTTTATTCCTTTGACATCTGATGGGAGGGCGTTCCACAGGGCTGGAGCCACTACCGAGAAGGCCTTCTGTCTGGTTCCTTCTCACTGCTTCTCACAGTGAGGGAACTGCCAGAAGGCCCTCGGCGCTGGATCTCAGTGTCCGGGCCGAACGATGGGGATGGAGACTCTCCTTCAGGCCAAACTCATGGCTTAATATGAATGCACAAACACACAAGACTGCAGGCTCCCAGAGAGGCAGTTGCAGCCATTCTGCTCCTCCTCTGGTTCTGCCTTCCACACTGCTGGAAATATGTCCTGAACCCAGTGCATATGAAGAACCATCTTCTCTCACAAGAACCAGCCCTCAACCCAAACCATCCTTTGATGTCACTTTTGGGTTTCCATCTTCTGAGGTCATGTGAGTAGCAACAGGGTTTTTCCCGCAGCAGTGCAACATTTCTGGAATACCTTCCACAAATGTTTGCCTGTGTTGCTTTCATTTAGGCATCAGATGATAAGGCTATAATTTTGGATTTTCAAGTGATTCACTGCTGTTTTAATTTTCCTAATTTGATAAATTGCAAATTATTCTTTGTAAAAAAATAAATAACTATAGGCCATTTCAAATATCAATGTGGCATAGAAATATTGTAAATAGGAATGAAAGCTGTCAAGTTGAATTGACTCAGGACAGAGAAGTTACCCACAATTAATTAAAACATTTCTATACTGCATCCCATGTTGGGCCCTGAGGTAGTGTTCAACAATACTGAAATGTGTATCAAAAGACCTAAAGGGTGAGCAGGCAGACAGCAGGAACAGTCCTTAGGAACAGTCCCTATTTAGGACGGTGGAAGGTCTAAGAATATGAGAATGTAACTATTATAGGTTGCCATCCCAGCAGATGGAGAAAAGCAAAAATCTGTCACCTGAGGTGACACAAGTCCAAGGGCTGAAATAGGTACAGATGGCCCTGTAAGATCACAATCTCCTAACTTACCTTTCTCTAGCGAACAAAGGCACATATCTAGTGACCAGATAAGCTTTCATCTTTGTGTCAGGCAAAAAGCGGATAATCCCCACTGATTGTAACTGATCCATTAAAAAAAACAACACAGTTGTGTGAATTAGACAGAGGTCAGCTGGAGGTAAAATAATGGGCCGCGTGGGGGAGGAAAGCTGTCTTGCCATGTGAAAAGGCAAGGGACCCGATGAGATCATTTAATAAGATATGGCATCAACTGGGAGTTTGGAGGTGTGGCTTGTTTAAAAGACATAGTAGAACTGCATTCTGTAGAACAGTATCCGAAAGCAATACTTAAAATCACAATATTTCAAAAGTCATTATATTGTCATGCCAATATTGTTATTTAATGGTGATTTCTAAGCCCTTATTGAGGTCCAGCTACAAACAGTGAGGTTAGCTTGGGACTGAAAAGAAACACTCAAATTTTATGCTATCATGTGTGGTTCAGGTATTTCTGCAGTTACCATGTTTCCTCTGAAAGCAGAGAAGGAAAGGTTCAGTAACTTCCAACAGCAGCAGCCAATAGTCCCACACACCATGACAGAGGGAAGAGATAGTCACTGTATATAATGCTGCTGCGGTAGATGGACCAATGGTTAAGTACAAGGCAGACTCCCTTGTTCCTATGGTAATAATAATAATAATAATAATAATAATAATAATAAGCCCTATATTCTAAACAAAATGCTTGTTTAACCTGGAGGTAGGCTGTATGAATTGTGTATTGATTTGTAATGATTTGTTGGGTCTCTGGACCGTAATAAAGATTGATTGATTGATTGATAATAATTTATTATTTATACCCTACCCATCTGGCTGGGTTTCCCCAGCCACTTTGGGCGGCTTCAAACAGAATATTAAAATACAATAGTCTATTAAACATTAAGAACTTCCCTAAACAGGGCTGCATTCAGATGTCTTCTAAAAGTCTGGTACAGTGGTTCTTAACCTGAAACTGTTCTTAACCTGAGGTACCACTTTAGCTAATGGGGCCTCCCACTGCCACCACGTCATTTCTGTTCTCATCCTGAAGCAAAGTTCTTAACCCAAGGTACTATCTCTGGGTTAGCGGAGTCTGTAATCTGAAGCGTCTGTAACCTGAAGCATCTGTAACCCGAGGTACCACTGTAGCTGTTTTTCTCTTTGACACCTGGTGGGAGGGCGTTCCACAGGGAGGGTGCCACTACCGAGAAGGCCCTCTGTCTGGTTCCCTGTAACCTCACTTCTCGCAGGGAGGGAACCACCAGAAGGCCCTCGGAGCTGGACCTCAGGGTCCAGGCAGAACGATGGAGGTGGAAATGCTCCTTCAGGTATACTGGACCGAGGCCGTTTAGGGCTTTAAAGGTCAGCACCAACACTTTGAATTGTGCTTGGAAACGTACTGGGAGCCAATGTAGGTTTTTCAAGACTGGTGTTATGTGGTCTCGGCGGCCGCTCCCAGTCACCATGTCAGGGTTGAATGTCAGGGTTGCTACAAAGTGAACCATGTTGGGGGCCATGGTGGAAAGGCGGCTGTTAGGCACATGGTTCACCCCCGCCAACAGAAAAAGGTTACCCATTCCCAATAAGTGAGTGGCTGCCATCTGCTTCTAGAGAAGAAGAAAAAAGCCTATCCACTGCCAGTGTTTTAAGAGAGAGCAAAACCAAATCACCACACCTGACACCAGCTGTGGTTCAGACATAAATGGAAGGAACACTATGTGGGAATGGGGGATGGGAAAATCTCCATTGCATTTATCACTAAATTACTGTTGTATAAGGTGGAGCAAATTGTATATAGGCTTGTATATAGGCTTGGTTTCAAGAGCTGCCCCTCCCCTCAACCCAATTATGACCATGGGATGAAGCTAGATTTTCCATTTGGTGGAGGCAATTGAGGTTGTGGAAAAGCCCCCCATACCCTTCATTGACTAAATTTGACAGGCTTTTCACTGGTACTCATTACTGAATAAAAGCTGGGATTTTCAGAAATGAAAATTCCTGGAGGTCACATACAGCCCAGTGAGCACAAATTGCCTGTTGGATAAAAGAAGAGCAAAAGAGAACATGGTTGTATTCTGTTAACTATAATTTTGTGTTTAAGAACTTTGTTCTGAGCAGGACCTAGTAGCTATCAGGGGCGGGGGCGGAGCGGGGGGGAGTTAGGCTGAGAATGTGGCTGGATATGATTAACAAAGTTCCTTAAGAATCACTGGAATCTGGTGGGGGTTTTTCTGAATAAGGGAGTGGATATCAAAAACACGGAAGCAAAGTTGTATGCATACAGGAGATGCTGTGTGTGGCCACTCAAATGAACTATTCCCCTTATTTAGCACTAAAGTGAGGCTTCAAAATAAGGGCCCAGCAATTAATATATACATAGCCCCTCCTCCCTTTCCTAAGAAGAGACCCACCATCCACAAAAGTCTCATCTTTACAAGTTAATATTGCAGTGGCAGCAAGACATCTTTAATTAAAGGGACTTTACAAGCTGAATCCTTAAAAAAAAGAACCTTGGTTACTCCTGGGGACGAGTTAATATTCCCATCTAATTACCACCTTATTCTTCAACATTGGGAGAAAATGCTATTTCTGGTAGAGCTGTAAAAGCCATATTTCAACATCTGTTTGCATGTTATTTCTGCTAAATGCAGTTGTTCAAGACATTTCCCAACGATCAGAACCAATCTGTCTGGAATTTCCTGGACATATCCAGAATCCTGCAGCTGCAAGCAGCGTTCGTATGGAAATCGGCTAAATATTCGGAGGTATGGCAGCCCATGCTGGCAGTGTTGTTTTTGCTGATTCTCCTCAGAAATAGCTCAAAAATGTCCTATTTTGGCAAAAAAGCTTAAAAACTTTGGCCAAAACTACAAAAAGCTCAACAAACTTTCTGTTGTTGGGAACCCTAACTTTCTGCTCTTGTTTCTCTGGTGTTTTATTATTCATTCATTCATTCATTCATTCATATAACACCCTTCATCTGAAGATCTCAGGAAGGTTCACAATATATAATGATGATAATAATTCTTCCAATACTTTCCACTATTTCCAAAGATCACAAACAAAGCACACCTCAGAAAATCTACAGCGTCCATAGGTACATTAAAAGTGACAAATGTGTTTTTGGAGGATTGGAATCAGAATTGGAGGGTGCCCTGGAATTCCCTCCTCAATTCTTGATCTACCAAGCAAGACATCTGCAGCATTCCTGAGTCCACCCAGGCTCTTCTTTAATACCTCCAGCAAAGGAGACACCAGCTCCTGAGGCAGTCCTGTTCCACAGTCAAACAGTTCTTACCACTAGGATGTCTATCCAAATGTTTAGCTGAAATCTGCTTCACTGCCATTTCTACTCATTAGTTCTAATCCTGCCTATGCATGGCAGCTGCAAGAACACCTGCAGCCCAGACACATCCCACAAAAGACAACAGAGTGCCTTGGTGGCTGCACCCCAAGTCTCTGATGGCTACCTATGAGAAACCCTAGATTAGAGCCATGGTTAGGAACACTCTCCTAAGAGACCAAAAACAAGAATCCTCAAATCACAGTGCTTAAATAAAATTTGCTATAACCACTTTCTCTTCAACATATGCGGGATTGTTGTTGTTGTTTAGTCGTTTAGTCGTGTCCGACTCTTCGTGACCCCCTGGACCAGAGCACGCCAGGCACTCCTGTCTTCCACTGCCTCCCGCAGTTTGGTCAAACTCATGCTGGTAGCTTCGAGAACACAGTCCAACCATCTCATCCTCTGTCGTCCCCTTCTCCTTGTGCCCTCCATCTTTCCCAACATCAGGGTCTTTTCCAGGGAGTCTTCTCTTCTCATGAGGTGGCCAAAATATTGGAGCCTCAGCTTCACAATCTGTCCTTCCAGTGAGCACTCAGGGCTGATTTCCTTAAGTATGGATAGGTTTGATCTTCTTGCAGTCCATGGGACTCTCAAGAGTCTCCTCTAGCACCATAATTCAATAGCATCAACTCTTCGGCGATCAGCCTTCTTTATGGTCCAGCTCTCACTTCCATACATCACTACTGGGAAAACCATAGCTTTAACTATACGGACCTTTGTTGGCAAGGTGACGTCTCTGCTTTTTAAGATGCTGTCTAGGTTTGCCATATGTGGGATTAAAAGTCTGCAAATGCAATGCTTGATGGTAGATTGAGGAAAGGGACTAGAGGATAACCCAAAATAACATTCAGAATGGGCAAGAGTAAAGGCAAAAGTTGATTGTGCTATTCAAAGCTGAAATGTTTTGCCCTCTCCAGAGACCCTGACTCTCTCATGCACCAAGGTGCTGCAGATCTGTTGGTCACACAGCAATGGGTTGGTTGCCAAGAAAGGTCCGGTAAAAGGGCTAGAAATACCACCGTTTAAAAGACTGGCAGTGAATTTTTCTAAATGCTCAAGGTGCCAAGAGATCAGAAACAGCTACAAGGACCATTGGCTGAAGTTTTCCCTTTGTAAACTGCTGATCAGTCTTTTGATAAATGCAATTTAAAATGCAGAGAGGCATCAAAATAGCTCTGTGGATGGACAGAGGTCACCCCTGTGTGCTGCAATATAATTTGAAAGCAAATCTATCTCAAGCTTTGATGCAGAAAGAGCAGAACTTCTGCCCTGTTCACTTTAGAAAAATGCTCCATGAAACATACCTGTCTGTGGCCAAATAAGCTCATTATTACTAATGCTACCAGAATAACCAATTTGTACCGATCATCATCCCCACTCAAGAGCAGAGAGGTGAGGAGCCCCATTCCCTCTACTGTCTGCCCTGTTCTAAATCTCAGGTGGTGAACAAACCTGCTTGCTTGCACTTCCAGCTTTTGCCATTCAAACCCAAGCAAATAAACTCTCCAAGGAATCCAGGGGTTTTTTTTTAAATTGTGTGAATTCCATTTTTTAAAATGGGGGTAAGAAGAGGAGCTTACTAGCTGTGCTTAGCACAAAACTAGCAAACAACAAAAGTTTTCCACAAAAATCAAGTTGGGAGAAGACAATAAGGATAAGGCATTTGAAGGATATTTCAGATATTCCTGAAGGTTAGAAAAACAACAAAGATAGAATGCCAGCTTGACACTGCAGAACTACATGTTTGTTTCTATTCTAAGGACAATATGACCTTGAATGGGGGATTACCTCCACATGCTACTCTCAGAGGAAAGCATTACAATCACTCTTGCAGTTTTTAGTATGCTCTGTGCATGCAGATAACTGATAATCAAGTTAGCACTTGGTGGAAACAATTTTCTCCTGCAAAGATGGGCCCATTCAGCTGGCCTGCCCCCACTGATGGATCCTGGTGGATTCCTGATTTTCTGGGGGATGTGTTGTAGAATCAGTTTCATTTTACATACTCTGATGATGTGGATTTCTAAGCAATATACAAAGATAAGGTAGGCCTTGCCCAGAGGTTGATGATCTAACAGACACAATGCTAAGCCAACAGTTTCACCACAGATCTACACTGACTTAAGCAGCCCAATGAGCCTGGATCAGGAAGAGACCAAAAGTTTATTTATACTTACTATGGAGCCTGCTAGGGAAGAGAATATTATCTTGAATCATAGGTACTGGTGAAGGCTATGTTTGAAAAGCTACAACTTTGGGTAGCTGGCTGGGTAAATGTGGCAGCAGTGGCAGAATGAGAAGGCAACTTTATCTCTGCCTTTGTCAGATTAGTTCTGTTTGCCCTTCTGTTAGTCTGGAGGAGGGGGAGGACTTACCTGCAGACCAGAGTTGCAATGATGACACACCAAGCTGTACAGCAGCAATCTGCATTCAGCTGTTCTTCAGTTTTCCGATGGCGACAACATAACCAGAAGGAATAGAAAAGGAGGAAGAGGAGATCCAGAGCAAGGCAGGACAGAGCAACACCACCCAGCAGCAAGAGGGCCTGAGGAAGAGAGAGAAAAAACAGTTAACCGAGAGGCATTTCCATAGCAGGAATATACAAAATCACCTCTGTGGCCCAATTGCTGTGATCTCCACAAGTACAATTGCTCACAAAATCTTGAGAGGCCAGCAAATAAGGAATTCCCTTTTAAAATCCAGATTGAGTCACAGGAGGAGTTTACCTGGACTGTATTTTAAGTGAGGGCTACTTCACATTTACAGCTTATTTCTTTGCATCACTGATTAGCACTGGGGGCATATTTTTGAAGTATGGAGGGCGGAAGGCCACAAACATTGGCTACCACATGAGCTACAGCTCCTGTCACATGAAAGGGGCTCTTAAACTAAGGTTACCAGATTTTTTTCAAGGAATCCGGGGACACTTTTCAACTTCAATGGATTTTGTATGGGGACTGATATGTAAATCTGGGGACTGTCCCTGGGAAATGGGGATGCCTGGTAACCTTATCTTAAAGCCACTCCTCCTCAGTATGAATAGATGAGGCTTTTGTAAAGTCCTTCATTAATGTGCAGTTTTAAACTGAAAGCTAAGCCTGTGAGAAAACATTTTTCTTCATACAGTTTATTGCACAAAGTCATAATTTAGGCTGATGGTTAAGTACACTGGTAGCATACACTGTGGCCACGGAATTCACTGCGCAGCCAAATGCGTCTCTAAACCTCCAAATCTGGGAAGAATGCATGTAAGTTAGATTTCTTTGCTTTTCTCAGATTGCATGCATGTAGACCACTGAAAAAGCATGGTAAGAGGAGTGCCATCATGGTAGAAGATAAAGGGCTATTCTGGGGGCTACATGGGGAGCCTATCCCTCCCAGACTTATCTTTATTAGCTCAATGCCAGAGTGATGCTTTTAAGAAGTTAGAGATCTTTCCCATAACCCTTTTAAATCAACATACTGTTCTTCCCCTCCACCCAAAATACCTCCCTTTTCTCCTCTTTTTCATTTCCCCCTGCTTCCTAAATTACCATGCCTTCTTTCTAGATTTGCTACAATGATTATTTAAGACAAGCTGATCAATTGCATCACATCATGAATGGGATAGCTTTGGCTATGCGACATCACTGAGGGCAAAACAGAGCCAACTGAGAAAACGGGCCATGCTGGAGTAGTTTCTGCAAAGTCCTAACCCCCACACTGCAGCATCTCATTTCCAGTGCAGGAGAAGTGCGAATCACCATTTGCTGGGTGAAATGGCAAGCAATGATTGGCTGCAAGCCAGGGAAGGAGGTAAGGCATGAGATTAGGGTTCCTTTAAGGCTTGTTTGGGTAGTACCAAACCACAGTTTGGTATTACATCTATACCAACTCAGTATGAGGAACTCAGATGTCATTCTAGCATGACTTATTCAAATTCATTCATTTTCTGCAATTTAAAAAAAAAACCACACACACACACACACACGAACCAATTGCTTTTTGGACACAAATCTGGAGGTTACTGACTGTAAAATGACACTGAATTGCAAGTCCTGGAATGGAGCCCAAGAGATTTGTGCCAACACAGTAATGTTAGTAACCTTCACTCCACAGACAAATCTGTCCAGAAATGTGCAATAGAAGGGATTTTATTTTTAATCAGTTACGTCTCTTTTGCCCTTCCTGTCCTCTTGCAATCCTGATAAAATTACAGAAAGTATGAATTTTTAACAATAAAAACACTCCCTTAGCCTTGGAAATGACATTAAAATACTACAATTAAATGAAAAGTTAGTCCTAAAAACAGGTTGACTGCCACTATACAATTGAAATACCACAAAAACGCCTGCAGAAAAGAAAGCATACACATTTGTGCTTCTTCTTGCTGGGAAATTGAGCAACACCAAACCTTTCAGCTAAGCAAATACCACTGCTTGCAGAATGACAGGTTGCCTACTACACTAGATGCCACTCATGTGGCAAAGGAGTTGTCCCAGGATTTCAGAATACAACTAGTTTGGAACACACACACACAATCTTTATTACGGTCCAGAGACCAACAAAACATTACAAATCAATACAGAGTTCATACAGCCTACCTCCAGGTTAATCAAGCACTTTGTTTGGAATATAGGGCTCATTTGTTCTTGCAACCACCGATAAAAACTTTGCCACTGCCAACGTTCTAGCTTTTGTCCGGTCTTCCAGTAGAAACCTGACATAGTGAGACTCTGACTTTCCCGGGAAAGGCACCAGCAAGGGTAGTATCAGTTCAGCCCTGGCCTGCTCATACTTCGCACAATGTAACAAAATATGACCTATGGAATCGATGTCTTGGGCACACGAGCAAAGTCTGTCCTGGTAGGGAACTCCTCTCAACCTACCATCCAGCACTGCAGAGGGGAAGACATTCAGTCTGGCTTTGGTGAAAAGCCTTCGATAGTTAGGTACTGTCAGGTTTTTGATGTAAGATGTTAACTCAAAGACATACCCATATTGAACTCCTGCTGCCAGTGGACTACAGACTGCGTGTGACCGAGATCTCAGGTCACTGTGTGCATTGTCCCATAATCTTTGCTTTAAAACCTTTTGGGCGCCTTCATAGCCCAGGTAATACAGTTGGGGGGGAGACAGACCAATAGAGGTGGCTTTTTTAGCCATGGTTTTCTGCCATTTGCTGACAAATTCCTCATTGGTCAAATGTTGGTACAGACCCTTCCCTAGATTAAACACTGAAATCCTGAGCCAATGTCTTAGGGCAGCCCACCACGCTCTAGCTGAAATTGGGCATTCACCAGCTTCCAACAGAAGTACGGAGTTGGGGACGCAGTTAGGTACCTGCAGCAGAGATCGTATAAATTTTGCCTGAAAGCCATCTAGCTTTGGCAGGTCCCCATTATGCCAGACATTTGCTGCATACAGGAGTTGGGAAATGGGCTTTGCATTGAAAACCCTTAAGGCTGCTGGAACATATTTGCCGCCCTTTGTGAAGAAGAATCTATGTATGGCTAGCTTTGTAATCTCCGCCTTTTGAAGGGAGGTTTGCCAATGGTGCTTCCAAGATCCTGTATGATGGAATGTGAGCCCTAGGTAACTGAAGTATTTTACCTGTTCAAGGTTATGGCCATCCAGCACCCATTTAGACTGGGAGAATCTTCTTTCGAAGACTAAGATTTTAGATTTTTCATAATTAATGGATAAACCATTTCCAGAACAGTAATCAGAAAATTTCCTCAACAGATAATTCAAGCCCGGCCTGGAACGCGAGATGATGGCTGCGTCATCAGCATACAACAACAAAGGGGTCCTTCTCATTCCTATTTTTGGAATGTGTCCATCTGGGTCCATTAAGTTCTCTTCTAGGTCATTTAAGAATAGACAAAACAATGTGGGGGCCAAAATACAACCCTGTCTCACCCCCCTAGTCATCTCGATGCTGTTTGATAGCTGTCCCTGTTGACCGCATCGGACCTGCAGTTTGGTTCCATTGTACAGGGCTTTTATAAGAAAGAGAAGTCGTTTGTCCTGCAAAATCAGACTCAATTTGGACCATAGCTGGAATCTGGGGATGGAGTCAAATGCTGATTTCAGGTCCATAAAGGCCACGAAGAGTTTACCCTGTAGATGTCTGGTATACTTCTCAGCTAGGAAGGACAGCATTAGACAGTGGTCTGTTGTTGAATGATTCTCACGAAAAGCTGCCTGGGCTTCAGATAGTATATTATGTTCATTTAGAAAAGTTGTCAGTTTGCTACTGAGGAAATGGGCATACAGTTTCCCAATTATTGAGAGCAGGCTAATAGGCCTATAATTGGAAGGTACATTTGGGTGGCCTCTCTTAAAGATTGGAACTACTATAGCATGTTTCCAGCTATATGGTACCTTACCCGAGTTATTTACTACCGTAAAGAGTGCTGCCAGAAGCGGAGCCCACCAGTGCTGGTTTGATGTAATCAACTCAGCTGGGATAAAGTCTTTCCCCGGAGCCTTTCCACTCTTCAGATTCCCAATTAATGTATTGACTTCCTCCACAGTAACCGGCCTCCAATTAGGGAGCAGTGACAATTCTGCCCTGTCATCCTCCTGTAAGCTGGAAGGGAGGTTTGGATTTTCCATAAATATATTTCTGAAGTGGTTCTCCCAAACCTGAGCTGGAATGACACAGCTGGGGGCTGAGGAACTATTTTTCATTGAGTCGGAGACCAGTTGCCAAAAGAGTTTAGTTTCATTGTTTAGTGAGGCATTCAATAGTAGGGACCAGGAATTTTGTTCGGACTGCCTTTTTTTTGAGGCCAAAAGGGCTTTATACTCTTTTTTGATTTTGAAATAAGATTGAGGTAAGTAGCTTAATCCAGCGTTTCTATAGGCCAAATAGGCGTTCCTTAAGGCTTCCTTCTTTGTGCGGCACTCTTGGTCAAACCAACTGCGCCCTTTAGCAGTGCGTGGCTTGCCGGCTAAGTTTATGTTAACCGAGACCACATCCTGCAAGGACTCAATGAGATTTTCGTAAGCTGTCAGGGAGGAGTCTATTGATGAATTGTTTATTATAATTGATCTTAACTTTATTGCAGTTTGTGAATTCAATCTATTCTCAACTGCAATTGCTATCTCAGGTGTCCATTTTTTCCTACGCAATGCTGGATCATTTGCTTTGTCTATATCCTCATGTTCTATGTGAGAGTGCTGAATTGAATTTTGGCCAGTAGTGGAGATGATAAGAGGTAAGTGGTCACTTTCAGTCCTATTATCTATGGTGAATTTTTTAATTGATTCGAAGGCCTGTCTGTTAGTGAGACAGTAGTCTACTGTGCTGGCTCCATTTGTATTTATGAATGTGTACTCGCCTTCTCTGTCCCCGGGGAATGCCCCATTAGCAATGATCAGGTCAAGACTTATTTGTAAAAAAGCCAGGCAGAATCCAGCATAGTTGATTTGGCAATCTTTCGAATGTCTACGTGGGGGTGGGTTTAGCAAGCGGGCGCTATTTTCCTTTAGATCTCTTAATATTGGGAATTTTATCTCCAGGCTATCATCATTTGAACCTATTCTGGCATTCATATC